CTGGGCTAGGGCTTGGGCCATGCTTGTTTTGGTCCAACCTGAGGCCCTATTCAAACCGAATTTGAGGCCCGACCCGTTTGGCACCCAACGTCACTTTTTAAGCTACAGTGGTGGGAAAAAAAAAAATTTGTTAGGCCTTACCCAAGGCCCAATTACTCCTCGAGCCTAAATTTTTAGGAAACTAGGTTGGGTCGATTCGATTTTTTACGAAAGCCCGAATGGGCATAGGTCAGGTCGACGTAAGCTAGCGGTGAGCAGCGAATATACCGATCCACCAAAACCGACTGAACTGAACCGATCTGCCGCATTTTGGACGGATGCGTAATGACGAGCGGACGGTTGCGGATTGATTTTATCCAATCCGCCAATTTGGCGGACGAATGGCGGATTTGAGGTTCTTTTGGCCGCAACCGAACCGCCAAATCGTGAGCACCCTTAGTAATTTACAAGACTTTGTATTTTCAATTTGTTTAAATATTTTGTTTGTATTTCCAATTGAAAAAGAGTTCAAATATTCTGTTGAAAAAAAAATTTCAACTTGAATATATTTTTTGAATTGAAAAAAATAAACGTATTATTTATCTATATTTTTTGGTTTTTAAATCTAACTCTAAAAGTAATAAATAGAAAATATGATATATGTTGGTTGATTTTTGTTTTAAAAAACATATATAAATGTAACAATACATAGACATATAATCTCTACTATTACTCTGTTCATGATTTTGGTGGTTTGAATTGTTTTTATATTTTAAGAACCACAGATTGTAATATTTTTTGTGGATGAGGCATGCTGTGATTGTAATGTGTAGATGAGGCATGTAGTGATTGTGATATTCTAAAGTTTCAAACTTTCTTTCTTTGGATGACGCATGCAGTAATTGTAATACTTTTTTAAGTCATTGATTGTAATAATTTTTTTTTTTTTTTTTTGAGGAAGGGCACAAGTTGAACTATATTGAAAATTTATAAAATTTCAAACCACCAAACCGATTCGCATCCATCCGCCAAACCGCCAATCCGCTCAATCCACATCCACCGGATTGGCGGACAGATGCGGATTGATTTTCTCTAATCCGCCATCTGGCAGACGGATGGCAAATTGGAGGTTCTGTGGCCGCAACCGATCCGCGCTCATCCCTAGCTGCGGAAGAGGTGCATCACTGTCATTACTAGGGCTACTGGACTGCAAGTCAACCTCTTATTCCTCATCATCGGGGGTCGAAGACCCGTCAAAAGACTCCTCAGAAGGTGAGCGTTGCCTCGCTCCATCTCTCTCTCGATCGGGTCCCCCTCAACCTCTCACTGGGCCCCATCTTTGTCTACTGGCTGGAGGAGGTCTTGCAGGCACTGTTGGCGCCGGCTCAAGCTAAAAAGAGTACAGGTATTAGTATGGACTAACAGGAGTATAAATAGTATGGAAACAATAGTGAACTACAGACAAAGTGTACCTTAATCCCATGAGTGACTAAGGCAGCCTGCCTCCTCCGTACCATAAGAAGCAGTCGGTCAATCGTATGGAGGACGTCATCAGCATACGTCCGGGGTATCTGCAAAAGGAACAGAATTTGAGAAAGGTGGACAGAAGTAACAAAGAACAATGAACATAAATGGTAGAAAACAAAACAAGACAAAGTGCAATGAGTAGAATTATAAACAAATATATATATATATATATATATATATTTGTTTTTCTTCACCAAAATAGTGTTGTTTTGGTGAAGGGAAATCTCAATCTTTAACCCATTAAGTGCAACATGTGTCGCGCCTACAACATTTCACTCCACAGATCACTCTACACTAAGGTTATCTCTAACCGTGTACCAAATCTATCACCAAATTCAAATTTGGTCAAAAGTATCCTTTTTTTCTACTCCAATAGTTTCATCAAACAGATATCAAATTGAGAATGTCAAAAATGTTTCACCAAACTGAGGATGTTTTGTGCCTTTCATCAAATCACTATTCATTGTCATTGTATTTTCACCACCAGATGTCCCCTGAATGTCCTCTCGAATGACTACCTCAAGGCAAAATTTTGTGAAAATTTTACACTGCTTGGTCGACCTCTCAATTGGAGTCATAGCAGTAGTTGCGGTGGTTAGGCAAATAAGTCTTGATGCCAAAACTTATAGGGTATTTGCAAATGTCTAATTAGAAGCACTCTGTTACTTGAACAGAGTTCATCAATGGCATTAGACAATCAATAAATTGGAGATAATGCGAAATATACCGAATCAAAATGGTTTTAGGAATTAATAAGCTGTTACCGAATCAACGACGGGGCATTGGAAACAAAAAAGGACAACAGCTCATAAGCTGTTAACAAAGTCTTCTCTGAAATAAACCCACATCTTTATCAAAGACTGCAACTCTAGATAAAATTCCAATGCTCAAACCTTGGTGGATCATTTACATTAATAATATTATGCTTCTGGTATTTAGAAAATGGAGGGAATTGGAACAATTTGATTCTATTAGATATATTTAGGACTCAAAACGAGTATGAAATTTTCATTTTCACATGATTTCTATAGTATATGGAAAATTTATTTGGGACAAAAGATTTCATGAAGTAGTTTTTTACTGATCTTTATTTGCAAGAATGCCAAGTTAATTTTCTTTTTGTTTTTTATGTACTTTTTAGCCTAGGTTTAGTTTTATTTATTTATTTATTTTTTCTTTGGGATAATAAACAATGAATGCATGCTTTATTTCCTTATTTCCTCCAATCTTTTTTTTCATACTCCAATTTTAGGCAAAAATTAATATTTTGTTTCAATGCTTATTTTTCATTGCCCATAAATATAATACAGTTTTTGTCCATAAGAGGTGTTTTAGGAAGATGGTTAAAAGCTAACTTTTTGACTTTTTAAACTTTTTTTACTATTTTATGTGAGATGTGATGTGACCAAAAATGGATTAAAAGCTGGCTTTTGACTTTTAACCTAGGTTCCCAAAATGAGCCTAAGTATCAAGTATGTCATTGTATTAGGCACTTCAAATGCAAGATAATCTTGTGTTTTCAGGCTCCTTCTTGATTTGATGTTGTGAAAAGCTTGAAAAATGGAATATTAGTGAACCTTCTAGGCATGGATGTTGTTGTCCTTGGTATGTACGCTACGGTTGGATTGTTGGTTGCAAAAGCTTTAATTTCTTCGACCACTACTTACTAACAGGACATCTCACTTGGTTATCGCCCTGTGAAAGCTACCATTACTCTCTGAAAATATTGAACATTTCACTTGATAACATGAAGAAGAAAGAAAGTCGCCCCTTGGTATCATTTCAATTAAGAGAAAACATACCCTAACCTTTATATCTCAATATCACCACCATTGATGTCAGACATACTCTCGTCTAACACGTGCTTTGATGGCTATAAAGCCTTCTAATCGAAGAGAATATTATTATTTTGGTCATTGATGTTGTTCCTTGTTCTATTGTGAAAAATTTACATTGGCCGTTGGATCACCTGATTGACTGGTAGTTTGATGAAAAGCCAAGCTACCATCGTTGCAATAGGAGATATCAAAGAAAGTTTTTACTCAAATTTAGTAAGAAGAGTAATGCACCGTTGGAGATGCCCTAATAATTCTAGAGGATACGAATGCCTCTTTATTTGTTTATGTCGTACAATTTTTTTTTATTGGTAAAAATTCATATTAAAAATTATTATATCACTTCTCTATTTTTTCTTATATATATTTTTTATTAAAATCAATAAATTAAAAAAATAAGCAAATTCCAAATATAAAATAATAGTAATATTAGAGATCCTAAAAATTCTATCAAAATTTCTACCAAATGTCTCATGGGTGTGAGACTCATACTATGTAAGTCTCACATCCATATGAGTCATTTGGTAAAAATTTTAGTAGAATTTTTGAGACTTCTACCATTTTTGATAAAATAAACACTTTGGTGAAAATAGTCCACGACCTGTTTGAGATATTAGTTTAAGCTAAAATAACCGTATAAGATAAAATAGATTATTTTAGTAAAATATGACAAAATATCACATCTAATCCATAATTATTTAATTTTTTTCACACAAAAATTTTAAAAAAAATTTATCACAAATAAAACTTTTTAATTCCAAGTTAAAATAATTTAAAAAATCAAAAAATTAACCAAGCCGTATCCCACCCTAATTTCATTCCCGCGCATCCGGGTGCCCACTTCAAATGGTTCTCATTCTAGCTTTCTCTCTCTAAACAAACCCACCATCACTACTGCCGTCTGCATTTGGAAATTTTGAAACCCTAGAAAGATCAGATATATGAAGGAAACCATAAACCCTAGGTAGGGTTTGTATTATATATTTATATTGAGAATAAAAAAAATAAAAAGATAAAAAGCTCACCAATATTACATATTTATAAAAATTACCTAGAAAACAATGCATTTATAGATCACAATTATTCTAATTTCTAAGTATTATAAATCTACACCATCTATCTGATTTTCAAAATAGGATTCGAAACACAAGTACATAACAATTTTCCACAAAAAGTATGGTAAGAGCATCCATCTCAGCTTCACTACATAGAAAAATAATTGTTGAATAAATGGGATTAGTAAAAGATTATATTTCTACTTCAGTGATTGATTACCTTCTTATATATATATATATATATATATATTTATTAAAATCATTAAATTAAAAAAATAAGCAAATTCCAAAAATATGAGATATTTGGTAGAAATTTTGGTAGAAATTTTGAGATTTCTACCATTTTTGATAAAATAAACACTTTGGTGAAAATAGTCCACGGCTCGTTTGGGATATTAGTTTAAGCTAAAATAATTGTATAAGATAAAATAGGTTATTTTAGTAAAATATGACAAAATATCACATTCAACCCATAATTATTTAATTTTTTTCACACAAAAATTAAAAAAAAAAATCTATCACAAATAAATTTTTTTAATCCCAAGCTAAATATAATTAAAAAAACCAAAAATTTAACCGAGCCGTATCCCAGCGTAATTTCATTCCCGCGCATCCGGGTGCCCACTTCAAATGGTTCTCACTCTAGCTTTCTCTCTCTAAAAGTACCCACCATCACTACTGCCGTCTGCATTTGGAAATTTTGAAACCCTAGAAAGCTCCTCCACAATGGAGATGACAGACGAGCAGAGGCAGAGAGCCGAAGCGAACCGCCTCGCTGCCCTAGCCAAGCGCAAGGCACTCTCCGAGGCTAACACGAACCAACACCCCTGGAAACTATTCAAATGCCGGAAAGTCTCTACCTTTCCCGACTCCACTTCCACCACTTTCCCGAGAACCAAACACCCCGATCTATTTCCCAAGCCCCAACAACCCACCACCCATTCGCCCCAAAAGTTTCGCGTTCGGCTCGAAATCTGTTCGCCCGATTCATTCTCTGCCACGCCCGTGGCTGTGGAGGGTTTTGCCTATCCCGGTGAAGTCGCGTGCTTGGAGAAACTAAGCGATTGCCTCTCAAATGTATGAATTTGTCACATTACTTTAGATGTAAAATTGTAAATGCATTGTGATTGCACCTACATCCAGTATACACACACACACACACACACACACACACATATATATATATATATATATTTGTGGGTTTGGTGGTAGTATAAATTTACAATTTTTCATAATTTGAAGGCATGCCATGTGAATTTCACTGGCCCTTATGCATTTGGTACTGGTATCTTGTAGCTTAAATGCTAGTATGAATGGCATTTTTAGTGGGGTTAGGTTTCCAATTATTAGTAATTTCAGTAACCATTGATAACATGATTATAGTCCAAAGTGTCACCTTTATGCTTATATTAGATTCTTCAGCTTAAATTGTGAATGCCTTTAGAAGTTGCTTACATGGGTTGTGGATTTCTTTCCTTCCCCACCTTTTAATTCCTCTCTTTTTTTTCTTTTTTTTTTTTAAACTTTTCTGTTTTCATTATTCATTTTCTTTTAGTCAAATACTGGAAAATCTATCAAAATCAATTATGTTGAGCAATTATCGTGTTTCCTAATTATTGTTTATTTGTTTCTTTTATTTTTTATTAGGTTGTACTGTCACACCATACACAAGTCCATGGTGGTGGAAAGGCTTGTGTTTATAAACTTGGGGACTATGATGAGGTTCTTAGATGTTTGAAGAATTACAAGACCATTGAAATTGAAGAGATACCTTGGGGAACTCTTAATGTTGTTGGGAGACTTTCGCATTCTGTTGTTGAAGGGCGGTGGATACCTTGTAGGCCAGAACACTTGTCTGATGAGAAGGTTGATGAACTGATTAGGAAGCTTCCGGAAACATTGCTAGATGCATTGCTGCCTTTCCAATTAGAAGGTATTAGATTTGGCTTACAAAGGGGTGGTCGGTGTCTCATTGCGGATGAAATGGGACTTGGAAAAACACTTCAGGTAATGATCAAAGTAACACAAGCTATGTTCTATAAAGTCTTTGGTCATGTCATGTTTCTCCACTTTCTAGCAAATGAATGATATTCACCTGTGTAAGGACTGAAGTTTCCCATTATCATTATGTTCTGAAGTGGTTACCAAGGTTATAACTCAACCTAGATATTTAGTATAAATAGTTTAAAAGATTATGAAGTTGGTAATTTTGAAATGATCAAGTCTCTATTTCCAAGCATTTTCTATTGCTGACCATTAATGTTATAAAAAAAACTACATGACAAGGCCAGCTTAAAGTTAAAGCTGCTAAAGTAGCGTCTTTAGGCCCTCATTTTGGAAAAGGCCCAATAGTTTCCAGACATATCCAAAAGCCATGATACAACTCTTTTTCTTTTTCTTCATTTTTTCCCCTCAGATGGCCCACTTTAGAAAAAAAGGTCTCACACAACAAAATTAAAATATACTAAAGGAAAAAGGCCCCAACCATGAGCATAATACATTTTCTACATATTCGGAAAAGGCATCCATTGGTTTATTTATCAAAAAAAAGAAGAAAAAAAAGAAGGCATCCATTGGTTTGGTTTATGTTTGTCAGAGACACCTACTCTATCTTAGAAGGTTCACATTAGAAAAGGGCTCTACTGATTTTAAAAAGCATCCAATTTTGTATTTTAAGAAAGCCCACTTTGGAAACGACCTCCACCAATTTGGAATAAGTTCTACATGTTTAGTCTTCACTTGTTTTGTTGTTATTTTTTATATTTTTTCCTGCATAGTATTCATTCACTTTGAATCTATTAAGTTCTATTTATTGGATAGCTTATGACAATTCCCATTTCATAGCTCTCATGAAGGCTATAAAAAATAACTCCCACTGCCACACACACACACACAAATTAATTAATTAATTTTATTTGAATTTACATTTAACTATAAAAAGCCTCCCATATAGACTTTGGTACTTTGTCTTAGGCCTTGTCGAGGCCTTGCTACATGGTAAAAGAATGTCTTATGTTGGAGGCATGAAGTTAATAGGACATTCCTTTGTCACACCTGAGGAAGTCATGGATTAGATGCCATTCGTATATTTCTGAAATTTACTTTGGGTAACCACCTCATAATGGCCCTATTTGGTGCAACTTATGAGGCTACTTATAGCTTTTTTTAATTTCTAATGTTAGAAATTTGTGTAAGAGTGTTTGATGCAATTTCTCCTTACAGTTTATGAGGTAGAAATAACTTAAATAAGTTGAAAAAAATGATTATTGAGAATCAGAGGAAGAGGTGCTTTTAGCTTTTGCTTGTAATTATTAGTTTTTAGCTTGCAAGAAGCTACACCAAACAGACCCAATCTGTTTTTGATTAGGTGCCCATGTGCATACAAAAGCTTTTCTTTTGGTTCTAGACTTCCGTCTTCTCGTCTCATGCATTAACATTTACATTGGTGACTGTTTGTGCATTAGGTGCCTAAATGTGCCATATAATATTAGCCTTGATCTCCAAATGGAAGAACCCTACAAAATACTTCTTTTGAAGTCATCTGTATATGTCGAGTATATTATATGTATGAATTTTGATATCTACAATCACAGGATCACTTTCTTTGTTATGGGGCTTATGAACTTGTTGAAATCGAAATTGATGTCCTCTTTTTATGTTTTCTGTTAGCTGAATATTGAACTTATAGTGTAAAGTGCCCATAAGAAGAATCAAATTTGCCATACTAGATAAACACATAATATGTCAAAAGTGTTTTGATCTTGCCACTTTGCTTTTCATACAGAAAAAATCAAGTTAGTTTTTGGTAGAGTTTTAGAATTATGATTTGAGAATAGAGTTGTATTTTGAGTTTGTGAGTTTTGGAATTATAATTTGAAAAGAGAAAATTTGTTTGGTTATTATGAGTTTTGAATTTTTGATGTGACATATGAAATGAGAAAAGTTGTTTGGTTATGAGTTTTGAAAAGAGTTTTCAAAATTTAATTCAAAAACTTATAACTCATAACCAAACACACAACTCAAAACTCTATTGAAAATTCTATTCAAAACTTATAACCAAATTCTTTTTAAAATTCAATTCAAAAAATATTTTTTCATTTTGGTCTAAAAAAATAATTTGTATATTTAAAAAATATAAAAAACAAATCAGTATGTTTGGTTTCAGTTGTTTAAATTCGGTTATTTGAAAATTGAGTTTTTTTTGTTTTTGTTTTTAGTGAATTTTTTAAAAATTTTAAGCAATTTTTTTACTTTTTTAGATGTACCTTACTTAGATGTATCTAAATTGTAAAATATTTGTGAAAAAATATTTTTAAAAATTATTAAATACACTAAAATATGAAAAATGTACAAAATTTTCGTGTTTTTTTTTTTGTATTTTTTGGTATTTAGTGTATTTTTTAAAGATTTTTTTTTTTCCACAAATATTATACTTTTTTAAGTGTATTTATATTAGGTGTGTCTAAAAATTTTTAAAAAATGCTTAAAAGATTAAAAAATTCATTGAAAACATTAAAATATGGAAAATAAAAAAATAGAATTTTATGAAAACTGTTTTATGAAAACCAAAACCAAACAAAGTGAATATAATTGTTATTTATTTTTTTTCCAAACAATAGGTGGCGATTGCCAATTGCAAAAAAAAAATAAAATTGTACTGTTCCGGTCAACCGGCCAAACGACCGGGAGGATGTCTGGGCAGATGACTGGGTAGACCAAAAATTCAAAAATTGTCTGGTTGACCAAACAAACATGTATTAGGTGTGTCTAAAAATTTTAAAAAAATGCGTAAAATATTAAAAAATTCATTGAAAACATTAAAATATGAAAAATAAAAAAATAGAATTTTATGAAAACTGTTTTATGAAAACCAAAACCAAACAAAGTGAATATAATTATTATTTATTTTTTTTTTCCAAACAATAGGTGGCGATTGCCAATTGCAAAAAAAAAATAAAATTGTACTGTTCCGGTCAACCGGCCAAACGACCGGGAGGATGTCTGGGCAGATGACTGGGTAGACCAAAAATTCAAAAATTGTCTGGTTGACCAAACAAACATGTTTTCAAAATATGTTTTGAAATTAATTTGGAATCATAATTTCAAAACTCTTACCAAACATAGCATTCAAATATAAGGGTGGAAATCACATCAAACACAACCCAAATTTACCATACTAGATAAACATATAATGTGTCAAAAGTGTTTTGATCTTGCCACTTTGCTTTTCATACAATTCAGATTTTTCCAAATTTGTCTCCTCATAAGGGATGAAATGCTACTAATTTGTTTCCTTGGGCTATTTTCAGGCGATCGCAATTGCATGCTGTTTTATGAGTGAAGGTCCTATACTTGTTGTCTGCCCGGCTATTTTGCGATTTTCATGGGCAGAAGAATTGGAGCGTTGGCTTCCCTTTTGTTTACCTGCTGACATCCATCTCGGTACTACTTTCAGAAAGCTTTGTTCATCTCTTTTGTTACTTATTTGTTTGTTTAGTGGGGTTTTGGGTTGATATTGAGAAATCTGGTCAGCAGTCACCATTATGTTGTATAACCTCGGGCTTGTTTGGCAACATTCAATTTTAGCTTAAAAGCCATAAAGTCACTAAAAAAGCCAGCAACTATACGAAAAAGTCAAATATTCTCTTTTCTTTCTACTTTTTGCATGTTTTTTCATAAAAAAGCCATGAAGTTGTCCCAAACATATTAGTTTTTTTATCTCATATTTTAGCCAAAAAGCTAAAAAGTTACTAAAATGGCCTTTTTTCAAACGGGGCCTAAGTTCATAACGTAAAATGTTTAGAATGAACCTTCTTGATGGATGGATTTTCAATATCTAGCTTCTTGATTGATGGACGAGAAGAATGAAGTGTTTCTTTTCAATGAAACCCAATTATATCTTTGAGAATGCTAAGAGAGTTATTACCATTATTTATATAATATTGATGTATTCCATGGAGGAAAGGAAAGCTTCAATCATTAAGCTTTAATTGACTTCTTAATTTATGTGGCCTTTATTTGATAATTGGTCTTCACTTTGTTGCTTTGACATGTATATGATCTAAAATATCCTAAGACCTTCAATTACTTCTCTAACTTATTTTGGAAATATGATTTTGTCCTTTTTAGGAGTTTGCAATGGGACCTCCTCCCTATGGATAGGTCATTGAATGTGCAAACCCCTTTTACAACTAGAAATGGTGTTGTGAATGCTTTAGCTTATTTTCGTGTTAAATGTTTATCATGCAAATTTATCACTATCCAGTTTGTATATTGTCCAAAGAAAATAAAACTTTGACAAGAAAATATTTGTTACAAAGGCCAGCCATCAAAATATTTCCTTGTTTTTGCTTTGTATGTTTAAATTTTTGGAAAGTATGGAATGCTTGAAGGAAAAATAATGGGAACATCATTACCTTCTAGATGAACATTGATTTCCGTCTTCAAATTGCAAAAGAATACTTTCTTTTATGCTGATGGAGCACTTTAATAAAATTTGTTTTTACATTCGAAAATTCATAACCTTAGTTACTTGAGGGAAGTTTACCTTTCTTGGCCATCTTTTGGTATTCCATGGTATTTATGCTGCTTTAATCTTTTCTAGTGTTTGGTCACCAAAATAATCCTGTACATTTGACGAGATGCCCAAGAGTTGTGGTTATTTCATACACAATGCTTCACCGCTTGCGAACAAGCATGTTAGAGCGAGAGTGGGCTCTGTTGATTGTCGATGAATCACATCATGTTCGCTGTTCAAAGAAACCATCTGAACCTGGAGAGGTATTGGATTACTATTTTTCGTTGTTTGGCAGAAAATGCAATATTACTTCATGCATTAATTTGGTGTGACTTGCTATTTCTTACACAAAGAAAGAAAGTCGTGATGATGCACATTTAAAACTGATTAGTATCAATGAATTCAAGATTTATTTAATTTTAAGAGCATTCATCTTTGCTTGCTAACTAGCTAATTAAATTCATTTATTTCAAAATTTTGAAAATGTATTGGTTGGATTGATCTAATTGACCTTCTTGGTAGAAGGCATGTTTACTGATGATAAAGGTTTTTTCATTATCTAAGAAGCATGGTGATGGGGAACGAGAAGGAATTGGGCCCCTTTCTTACCATCTTAAGCTTTTGGCACTAGTGGTGATGAAATATAAGAGAGGTGTGGTACAACTTCATGGCAATGGAACAATGTCACTTATGGCAGTAAATGATGAGACTCATGCTGTGGCTATCACAGTTGTTAGTCTTGCAGTGTCTGATTGTCAGGTGGCACTTGAATGCATAAATGTTGTTTGCAGATTTTGCTCAGTTTATGATTGAACATGTGGACTTTACATGTTTCCTTGGAAGGCTAACACGTGTAGGTTTGTATGCTGACATGTAGACTGCACACCACTTTCCACGTGTCCCACAACATGTGATAGTATCAGGGATATCTACACTAAATTTTCTCAAGTCAAGAGGAGTGTCAAGCTTGCTTATCTAAATAGTTAAGCCTTGAAGTGGGCTCAAGCGTACTCTCTTATTCAAGATTGAGCTTGGGCTAGTCTAAACAAGATGAGTCTGAGTTGTTAAGGAGTGGATTAGTTCTTTTGCAACCTTAGCGAGGCAAGGTGTAGTAAGAAAAAACAGAGAACAGGAACAATAGAGGTAGAGAAGAAAAATGGAGTGAAGGAAAAAGGTGCTAGAGAGCTAGGTGTCCATTTGTTTTAGGTCATAGGGGATGAGATTGGATTAGGATGGATGTGAGGTCCACTAATATTGTATTTGTTTGCAAAATGGGAAAGGAAATTCACAATACCTTGAGACTATGATAGGCCTCATGGATGGGATTAGTAGTAATCCCTTGGCATTAGAGGGGGATTTATTATTTTGCCTTCTATTATCCTACTTAATTTACTTACTCTACTTGATTAGTATGGCTTTTCTCTATCATTTTTTTTTTAAAAATTATTCCATCGTTTTTTTACTCCACCATTCTTTATATCAAAATAATTTAATATAAAAATAATTTTTAATATAAAAATATAATAGTATAATAATATTTATACCAAAAAAAATTATATTAAAAAAATAAAATAAAAAAACAATGTCCAATTAGTACACATTAATGAGTGTTTGGGAGGGGAAAGATTGAGTACACACCTAACTTTTAGCATAATGCACAAAGTGATGGTCCCAAGACTTGAACCCATAACCTCAAGGTTATATTAAAAAAATAAAATAGTACCCAAAAAAAAAATATTTATGAAATATAATTTTTAATATTAAAATATAATTTTAATATTTATAAAATGTATTTTTAATATTAAAATATGTAATGCATTTATTAGTGGGTATAAGCCCAAATTTGATAGTAATGCAACAAGTGTGTTTGTGGAATTTTACATGGTTAATCCCACTCCTATCTCTCAAAACAAATAAGAACTATTGCTAGTCCACTGGTTATCAAATAAATATAATTTTTTTTAGTCCCCTCACTAGCAGTGCCCTCACTAATAATCTCCCCACTAACAATCCCATCTAACCTATCTTTGAAAACAAATGGGCCCTAGAGGAATAGAAGATAGGGAAGAGAGAGAACAACAATGGATAAGAAATATATAAGGTTAATCCTTATGAGCCTGATAACTATCCTTTGTTTTCCTCACTTTTGTGGCGACATAGCAGTTTTTTTTTATATTTTTGGTGGCACAATTGTAATGAGCTTCACAACAGGGGGTAGACCATCCCCCTGGCGGCCTGTAGTATTTGGTTCTAGGTACCATGTGATTTACCAGTCCAGTTTGCTGGCATCTAGCACCTTCTCAACAGCATCTCATGTAGCTTTCATGTGACTGCTTAATTTGACGTGGACATCGGCTACAAAGAAAATAAAACCTTAGCTCTAAAATAGTTAGTGACAAAGGGAAAATAATCCTAGTTATCTTCCCTACATCAAATTCGACAAATATTACATACCATCTCAAATGTGTGCCTTGTGTAGATATCTATTTATTTCTTCTTCATCAACATTAATGTTTCTTATGCTTGATCTTATCTATTAAACTTGCATGATATATCATAACAACAGATTTGGTTTTTCAATGCTGTTATTGCTTCTTTTTAGAATAAATTTTATCATTTCTGGATGCATATAATTTGGTAAAATGATATATATTGTAATAGCATTATAGGTGTAAACTTGATATTAGCTTGAATATATGCTGATACATTATCCAATATGTATGGCATTCATCAAGATATAGTCTGATCAATGATGCTTGAGTTGACTCTCTTGGGTTATTGCTTTCTCCATGCTCATGTGATTACACATTTGGATTGGGACCTGCAATGCTTGATATTAGCGAGAATATATAGAATCTCCTTAATTTTGTGGCTTTGGTAATGAACATAATATTTTCACCTACGGCAAGGTTTTATGTTTAATGAAGCTAATCAAATGCACATTTTTACAATTGGACTAATGCCATGTATCCTGCTGCCTATCTGCATTTTGATAATCTAATTTTTGATTGAAAGGAAATTGTGCCAGTAGTAAATGACTGGAAAAAGCCTCTATGTTTGAAACCAAGACTATAATGGGTGGACTAACTATGTACTCAAATATATATTGGTTGTTTTTGGTGTGTACTCAATTTGTTGTATTTGAATTTTTAGAAAAATATTATTATCATTTTTAATATCCCCTTGTAGAATATATGCAGTTCATTGTCCTGTTGTTTCCTTTCCGTTGTTTTACCACCTCTTTTCTCCTCTTTTGTGATTCAACAGATAAAAGCTGTCCTTGATGTGGCAACAAAGATCAACCGTATAGTTCTATTATCTGGGACGCCTTCTTTGTCAAGGTTGTCATAATCTGACCTGCAGCAAATTTCCAGGATTAAATTTTGATGGCATAAGTTCATTATCCAATTCTTTTTGTATTCTTTCTTTGTGTTTTCAGTCTTGGATCTTTTTAATGTCATTTTTATTTAGTTTTATGCTTTATCATGTTTAATGCATTCTAATGTCTTATCGTGCATATTCTCCTAGGTGATCATAGACCATTTGACATCTTCCATCAGATAAATATGTTATGGTAAGTTTTTGTTGCACATGCATCCTACCAGGTTAATTACATTTCTTTTTATTTTTTAAAGGTGAATTTGGTTTAATAATTTGCACAAGAATGCTTTTTTCCATTTAGGCCTGGTCTGCTTGGACAGAACAAATATGAATTTGCAAGGACTTATTGTTCTGTCAAATTTATCCAGGGTTGTCAAGGAAAAACTTTCCAGGTAATCTTTGGTTTATTCTAAGAATCAGCATACATATGTACACACACACACAGCTAAAAGAGTGAGCCTACTGTTTCCACTTCTTTATGGTGTGTTTTTCTTGTTATTGCTGTCCCCCAAGGGAGAAACATTGTTTGGGTGTATAATTTTGTGAATATGCTGATTAGCCTCTGGTTCTTTGCTTATTCACTTAATTACTTTATGAAGTCTACACAAGACTGCTGTATGGTTGCTCAAGTGGGTTATTATATATCAGGAATGTTATAGACCTATGTGGTGCTAACATATCATGGTTTCATATTCTTGCAGGATTTTTCTAGGGGTGTTCGCTTGGAGGAGTTAAATGTGTTACTGAAGCAGACTGTTATGGTGTGCTTATGTTCTCTGTTTCCATCTTTGTGATAATGTTGAATTTTATTAGTTCATTTTATGCTTGGTTGTTCTTAATCTTGTGTATATTGTTTTCATGATTTTATGTAGCCTTTAAAGTTACATCTAATGCTTTGGGCCATGATCTTCAACCATGACATAAATATGACTCCATGATTTGGTTGCTTTTGCAGTGTGCATGGTATTTGAGGGCAGTGACTGTCACAAGTGTTTACTTTTGTTATCCCAATCTTTAATATGACATGAACCACCCTTTTTTCTATACTGCAATTGAGCTTATTTAATAACTCAAATCTTTTTTGTTTTCTAGGGTTCAACAATTGTCTGAATTTAAAATATTTTCTATATTAGAAGTTGATGTAGGGTTTGGTATTGAACTGTAGCATAATCTGTTAGTTTGCGACTATGATATTATAATTTCAACAATGTGGAATTACCTTTGAATCTGGTGATTGCAGCTGTATAATACATGGGGACTGTTGCTAACGTACCCACTGAGGAGTTCAACAATAAAATTTTGATTGACCTCTAGACTTGTGTTATCCCCTTTGTTTTTCATTTTTCTTAAATGGTAAGAGTGTTAATATCGTGTTGCTTGTTTTCATATTATAGATAAGACGTTTGAAGAAGCATGTGCTGGTGCAGTTGCCCCCCAAACGTCGTCAGATTATAAGTTTGCAGTTGAAGAGATCTAATATTACTTCAGCAATGACTGCTCGTCGGCTGGTGAAAAGTGATGCTTCAGGAAATGACGACCCTGAAGAGGAGCCTTTAGAGATTTCTGATGAACATGATGGTAATATTCAAATTTTTAACATTTTATTTGATGTGCATAAGTCTTTCGTTAAGTGGGATGGAGTATTGTTTTCATATTACCTTATCAATTATAACTTATAAGTGTAGTCATTATTTAATTTACAATCTTATGATCAACTTATCTCTAATACATTTTTTGGCTGAATCTACTTACAATAATCAAATCCTCTAATTATTTGGCTGACATTGATCATATTGTATATTTTAAAGAATTCCAATTTATTGTTAACTTGGTTTTCAGAGGTTTGTGAGTTGCGGGATTGATTTATGGGTAAAGATGGCATGCTCAAACTTAAATTATATGAAAATAACAAAGTTTGACAAAATTCTTCTAAGTTACATTATATGAAAATACCATGTTTTACACAATTCTTCTAAGTTTCTCTTTACTTGCTTACAGACTGTGGTAGCTGTCCCGGATCTTTTAGGATACTCTCCAAGGAGGAAATTGGTATTGCAAAGTTGTCAGGGTTTTTTGAGTGGCTTTCCATGCACCCAATCTTTTCAGAGTTAGATGGAGCAGATAATATGGAATTTAGCATCAGTTCTCATAAAATGTTAATATATGCTCATTACCATAAGGTTCTTGATGGAGTGCAGGTGAGGAATTCTGTTGGCACTAGTTTTTCCAGCATGCTAGTTAGAAACCAATAACATTTATGATTAAACGTGATTTGCACTCATGGTGTCTTAATTACCGCAATAGCGTCAGGAGTACTTAGGACCATTGTTGTCAAATCAATGAATTCAATTGTGAATCTTAAGATTTATTTTATTTAGCATAATATATAATTTTATATTTGTATATGCATAAAAAAAAAAAAATACAGAATGTTTAAAATGAAATAAATATCAATATAACTAAATTGTATATATTTATATACATATAAAACCACATATATCAATATAATTGATTGATCTTTTTTTTTTAATTATTATTTATTTATTTTTTGTGAAAATGATATTTCATGTATTATACAAAAAAAACTGAGTCGCATTTGAATTGTACGATTCACTCAATTTAAGATTCAACAACACGAATAAAATCGTTTTGGTTGAAACTCGTATTGAATCGTCAATTGCAAGATTCTAACAACCATGCTTAGAACAAGGCTTTGAAAATACATGTGCTTGACATAATTTGTAAATTAGGTAACCAAGGGTTCTTCCAAAGCACTAGGGCATGATAAGTGGAACAGTTTGAATTGTTAAATAATTATTTTTGTCTATGAAGCACGGGTACTCCAAAAATAGTGCCGTACGAGTACCGGTTTTTTTTTAAAATTTAAAATTTCATATTTCATATTTCATATTTCTTCTTGAAAAAAACTCCACCGAGTTCCATTTCCAAAGTTTTGTACTGTGGATCTTATTTATCAAACACCAATAAGATGGCAGTATTTGACTTTTTGATTTGTTTATTTATTTATTTTTAATTTAATAATCTAAATAAATTGCATTGGTAAGAAAAATTGCTGATACTTGCACCATAATTTCTCATTTTCATTTATTCAGGAGTTTGTGTGTGATAAAGGGATTGGATTTGTTCGCATCGATGGGAATACATCTCCCAGAGATAGGCAGTTAGCTGTTCATTCATTCCAGTCATCGAAAGAGGCCTGTACATATTCTCTTTTAGAAGTTCATTAAATTCTTTTAGTTACTACCTTATCCAATGGTCTACTGATTTTATGTGCATTGGTATTTTACCATGGGATTTTCTTTCCTTTTTTTGAAGGACTGGTGATGTTTACAAGCTTAATAGTGATTTTGTAGGGTTTGAACATTGTGTAGACAGCATAATCAGTTATTTGTTAAAAACTGACATTCTGCTGGAGTTAGTGCAACATGTTATGTGCACATCCTTTTTGATATCTTAATTTTTATGTGATTATCCTAGGTTTGCTTGCTTATGGTTGCATCCATTTGAATGGACAAGTAACTTATTGGAAAATAAAAAGAAAAGAAATAGATTCAAGGCATTTTATTTATCAAGTTAGTAATAATTTGTTATTTGTCTTCTGCAGGTTAAGATTGCAATGATTGGAATCATGGCTGGTGGTGAAGGACTTGATTTTTCATCAGCACAACATGTTGTGTTCTTGGAGCTGCCTCAGAACCCATCTCATATGTCTCAGGTGTAATTAATTTGCATATCCTTGAGCATTGCTGAATCTTCTCTTTAATCATCAAGAAATTGGTGGATGGTTAAAATTTTGTCTGTTACTGGTTTAAATTCAGTTATGAACTAATGATTTTTTATTAAGTGGTTTAGGTTTAAGTCTTCTCATTTCTAAATCTTTACCTTACTCTTTATGTATGATGAAGTTATCTTAGCTGGACCATTCAGTGGTCCTGCTTTAAGCTGCCAGCCACTTTGTTCTTGATATCGCTGCTATTTTTATTGTTATTCTTTTAATATTTTACGCTTGCTACTTATCGTAGCTAGTTTAAGCACTCTGGTTCCTTTTATCTAGTACTATGTGTATATGTAAATATAAATTCTCTTTTACATGCTTCAGTTAAAACTTCAAACCTATTGACCTTCTACGGGTTCAAGCTCTCCCTCTCAAAAAAAAGAAGAAAAAAATTCCACCCAAGTTCCACTTCATGCTGCTTCTAACATGTACAAAGAAAAGAAAAATTGTTATAGCCGAGTATCATGCTTTATTGATATGTGTTAGTTTCTTCTGTGATTTTTGGATGGTTAACATGCTTCACATGTTTGAAGGCTGAAGATCGTGCTCATAGGAGAGGGCAAACCAAAGCTGTCAACATATATGTCTTCTGTGCAAAGGTACTCATTTATTTCTTCTTTTCTTTTCTTTTCTTTTGTTTAAAAAAAAATACATTAATGCAATTCTTTGGACAGACAATTTTCTTCTGCAGCTTTGATATGTTTTACTTGTTTTAGGATACTTCAGACGAGTCACGGTGGCGAAACCTGAACAGGAGTTTGCACCGTGTTTCATCTACGACAGATGGGAAGTATGGGGCAATACAAGAGATAGAGGTATTCTTCACAAAATCACTTGCTTATTTGGGATTTAATACATGATCATTAGATATATTCATTTTAACTACATTTTTTTCAAACTGTGTTGAAATCTCATTATTGTCATTGTATAGGGTATATCTCATCATCATTTTCTACTAGTGGGCCTCAACCCCTTTATATCTTTTTTATTGTTCAGTTGAATCATGGTTGTTTGCCTGTGGCCTTTATAGGAGCTTATTCTTATTTTGAAATGTGGTGTTCTCTATGCTGTGAGGCTAATAACTCTCTACTATGCACTTGAATGAAAAATATACATTATTGTCCATTTTTCTTTCTGTTGCTATGACTGAAAAGCCTGTGTTATGTCTTTGAAATGAAGCTCATTTTATTCTCTATTATAGTTTTTGTACCCTAAAAAAATATCTTTTTATTCAGATTGAAATTTGAGTTATCTCTTGGTAGGCTTTGTGTCGTGGTGTATGGTTTCTGTTTTTGAACATTGTATTACTGGTTTGACAGGTTGAAAGTGTTTCTTATCTAGAAACAGCTGGAAATTTTGAAAATCCAACTTCAGAGGGAGCAACACGGAGTGAAGTCTCTGGTGTAAAGCGAATGCAGCTTCCTAAATTTAACTCTGATCCAGAGTTATTGCCCATTGAAGAATATGAAGAAATATCTGAAATGGACAAGAAAACCGAAGAACAGAATGAAACTGGTGCCAATTCATCGCAAGATGACAGTTTTCATGCTGAGGTATTATAGCTTCTTGCTTCTAGCATGTTGTTCTGTCTCTTTGCTTATGGCTCTGTTCCACTGATAATTTTGATTTTTTACTTGATAAACAGGCTGACATGGTTTCTGATCTAGATATGTGGACGCATTCTGTTCCAAGTAGAGGATTAGAAGCCAATGCTTTTGAAGCTAAAACTGGATGTGCTGAAATAATTTCTTCACATAATTTGGAAGAAGGCTGCGAAGGACGGAATCAGTTGGAAGAGGTGTTACTTGAATAATTCCTTTTCCTCGTTGCAGATTTATAATCAGTTGGAAGAGGTGTTATTTATTGTTTGTTGTTTTGGTCAATTAATTTTAAATGCAGGGAGGGAATATAATTTCTGAAAGATCTGTCGAGCCGATTGAAGTTGATTCAAGCAACTCTATCCAAGTTGAATGTCTCCGTTTTGAGGTAAAATTTTGGTACCAATACTCATAATAAAATGATATTTTTAATGTGTCATAAATTAGTAAGTTGTAATTTACTTGATTCAGTGATTTATTGTCCCTGCATCAAGATGCCCATTTGTTGTTTTGAAGGGAGTCATTGTGCTGCAGTGTAAGGAGCATGCATGCGGACACGAGATGCATGCATACAAACATGAGATTTGAATAGCATATGATATGGACATGCCGACAAGGCATTTTAAAAGAAAGTAGGATATTGACACGGTGGGGACATAGTGATATATTAGTATCCATGTGTATATCTATAAATGTGAAAACAAAATATAGTCTATATTATTTTCTTCAAACTTGTGCACAACATGTGTTCCATCAATTAAAGCATGCCCAATTTTTAAATAAAAAATAATAGGATACTAGGTGGTTTTGATTGTTTGGAGACCTTGAATTTTTTATATACATTAAATTTCTACACATGTGTATATCTATAAATGTGAAAACAAAATATAGTCTATATTATTTTCTTCAAACTTGTGCACAACATGTGTTCCATCAATTAAAGCATGCCCAATTTTTAAATAAAAAATAATAGGATACTAGGTGGTTTTGATTGTTTGGAGACCTTGAATTTTTTATTTTTAAATTTCCTTTGTTTGATTTCACTTGTTTTAGAGAATTTTGTTCAGTTATCTAAACAACTATTAAGATTATGATATTAACTACCGTATTCATTTTGATGCTCACATGAGCTAATCAAGCTATACATTGGTTCACCAGCCAATTTTGGCTTGTTTCTGTTCATTGGAAATATAAAATGCATCCTTAGACAGTAATTTGTTTGATTGAGAGCATACTCTTGGATAGCTTGATATACATTGTTGGGCCCATTTCCCAATGGCTTCAATTTTTGGGACAATTGTTGATCAACATGGTATTAGAGCTCAGTTAAGGGGAGGTCTTGGATTCAAGTGTCTTCGCTTGCATTTGTTCCTCGTTTGCATTTTGCTTCTCTCTATGTATGCCTGTTTGCATCTCTGCTTGCAAGACGGGATTGCATGTAAGGAAGAGTGTTGAATAGCTTGATATACATTTAGGCTTTTTGGCTATTTTAGTAGGCTATTTTAGTTTTTGTGTTTGGGAAGATTGATTGAATTTTTTGTTTGATTGTTATATTGAAAAATGTGTTTGAAATGATGTTGAGATAAAAAATAATAAAATGATTCCCAAAAAATTGTGCCTGCCGTGATGACACTTCTGCCTGACGTGATGATTGATTTGTTGAGATATGAAATGACTAAATTACCCTTGTGTGTTGGAAAGCTAAGTTGGTGGTTAGTCAAAAATTAAAAGGGCAAAATAGTAATTTCAAATCTGCCCTGAAACACTTCTGCCAAATCTGTCTGCATCAGTTTCTGAAAAAAAAAAAAAAAAAAAAACCATGAGATAAAAAATAATTAAATTATTTCCAAAAAATTATGCATGACTCCCAAAAAATTGTGCCTGCCGTGATGATTGATTTGTTGAGATATGAAATGACTAAATTACCCTTGTGTGTTGGAAAGCTAAGTTGGTGGTTAGTCAAAAATTAAAAGGGCAAAATAGTAATTTCAAATCTGCCCTGAAACACTTCTGCCAAATCTGTCTGCATCAGTTTCTGAAAAAAAAAAAAAAAAAACACACACTGAGCTACAGTACAGCTTTTTGGCTATTTGTTTGAATGAGGCTAAAATAGCCTCTCAACCTCCTTCCCAAACACCGCCATTGTTGGATCTATTTCCTAGTAGCCCTAAGCTTTTGTGACAATTTGCCCAACAATACAAACGACTGGAAACACAATTTAAAAAGAACTCTTTCGTTGCAGTTGGAAATTTTGGTGTTATTGAAATCAATTTAAGGACAAATTATTAGATTCTGATGACTTTTTTACTACTGTGTAAAGTCATGTACTCTTTCAAACTGAACCTGCATTGGCTGTAGATTAAATCAGATTTTTTTGCCATCTGTGGTAAATGATTTCTACTACTGTGTAAAGTCATTTACGCATTCAAACTGAATCTGCCTTGGCTGTAGATTGAATCAGATATTTTTTTTTTCTTTCCCCATCTGTGTGCTTAAATCTTTTGGTTATATAATAACATGCTCCTTTTGGAAAATTATTTAGGTTGCTTGAAAAATTAATTCTACTTTCATTTCTTCTAGCTGCAGCAGAACATATGGAGGCAAATATTTTTATAAATAGATAATTTTTTGCCTGCTTTTCAGGTGAGCCAATATACTGGACGGATCCACTTATACTGTTGTATTCCAGGGATAGATTCAAGACCAAGACCACTTTCTGAAAATTTCCGACCTGAGGAACTTGATTCACCAAATCTTCCTGCTAACAATAACAAAACACCTCACATAACTATCAAGGATAATCCAGCATATAGGCATGCTCTTCTGGCGTTTATTAATGAATGGAAAAATCTCCGGCCCATTCAACGAAACAGGTTGCTTGTCAAGCCTCTACAACTTCCTTTATCTATTGAGTTGTGCTATTTGAAGGAAAGCCTTAACCATGATAGTGGGGTATGTCTGCAAGAACTCTCAGTTTCACCGATTCTGTGCATTACACCATCAATCTGCTTGTATGAACCTTGTATATGTATTCTGAACTCATTCTAGTTTGTAAATATATTTTCTTGTATTCTGTGAATAGTATAGTTTGGTAACAATTGATGGAATTGCTACAACAGGGATTATTGAGGGGGAAAAGCAAGAGACGTACTACACCTTTGAATGAGATAACTCATCTGTTACCATCAAATGCTGTGTGGAAGAAGGTCCATCTCCGTGGTGGTTGTGATAAAAAGGAGAAAGAATACACTCAGGGTTGGACTGTCACTGGTGAACCACTCTGCAAACTTTGTCAAATTCCGTGCAAGTAAGTCTCCTAAAGGCTTGTTTGCAATTACAGATTTTATGACATGAAGCCTAATACTCTTGGTTTGGTATTAATCCTAAACTTTCAGGAGCAAAAATGCCAAGACACCTGACTATCTTGAGGATCTTTTCTGTAATTTGATTTGCTATGAAGAATATCGCTTAAGAACTAGTCAGAGATTCCTCCGTCAGGTTAGACCTTGAACTATGTCCTCTGTACCCTTTGACTCTCTCTCTCTCTCTCTCCCCTTTATATTTGGAAGTTTTTTATGCATGATGAAGTGTCAATTTACATGTATTATAACTGCCCGAGTTTTCCAGGAGCTTTTCCAAATTGAACAGGGCATTTGCACAAATTGCCAATTAAACTGCCATAAACTTGTGGAGCACATAAAGCCTTTATCCTATGCAAAGCGGCAGAAATACATTGAGAAGGCGGCACCAAAGTTGGCCAGGCGTAAGAAATTGTGAGTTCATAAATCTTTTCTATCATGATAAATTTTTTGCTTTATATTTTCGATTGCAGCAGTATCAGACAACTAATGGTTGAAATTACTTCCTACATGTCTTCGTTTGCATGTTGAAATTAATGGTTGTTCTTTTGTTTCTACATGATAATTGCTCTGTGTTTTATTAGAATACATTTATTTATGGACGAATTACACTACTAGTCCCTATAGTTTGGGACTCGTGTCACTTTCGTTCATGACTTTTCAATTGTGATACATTTGATTTTGAATTTTGAATCTTGTTCCAAATAAGGACAATTGAAGATACCATTGCTTAATTTTAAGGGTGAAATTGTCAATTTGATAAAATATAAACTAATTTGACAAAAATAAATGTGAAAAAAATATTTTTAAATTTTAAAAAATTATTTCTACGAACCAAGATAAAATTATGTAACATTGATAAATCTTTTAGACATTTATTTATTTATTTTTTTTACTAAATTAATTTTTATTATGCGTTTGGATGATGATCATGTAATGGGTGGTTGTTAGGATTTTAATGTGTAATCGACATATTTAATATATGAAATATTTTTAGTTTTGGATTTTTTGATTTAATGGATTGGTTTAATAATGATATCAAAGTTGTCGTCATATTTGACTTTTGAAAAAATATAAATTAATTTAATGAAAATCAAAATAACCACCCATTACATGATCATCATCCAAATACATAATAAAGATTTATTTGGTAAAATAAATAAATAAATAAATGTCTAAGAGATTTATCAATTTTACATAATTTTATCTTTAGTGGGTAGAAATAATTTTTAAAAATTCAAAAATATTTTTTTAAAATTTATTTTTGTCAAATTAGTTTATATTTTATCAGATTGACGATTTTGCCCTTGAAATTAAGTAATGGTATCTTCAATTGTCCTTATTTAGAAAAAGATTCAAATTTCAAGGTCAAATGTGTCACAATTGAAGAGTTAGAGACTAAAGTGACATAAGTCCCAAACTATAGGGACTATTAGCGTAATTCGCCCTTTATTTATTTGTTATGTTAAAAGAATAATTTTCATCTTGATGTACCTTTCATTATAATTTCTGGGGAACTACATATCATGGAAACTCCTATTGACATATGCTAGTGTTGGGTATGTATTCTCTATAAACATCTGACACTCCTCAATTAGTGTTTGCAAATTAGAAATACTCCTCGATTAGTGTTTGTAAATTAGAAATATTTTCTTACTTTCGTATGTGTAGTAAGACATATAAGGTCATGCATTAAAGCAGACACCAAAGGTTTTGTTTCCTGTGTATGATTTTGTTAATATGTTAAAAGGAGTACAATGGCAAGAAAAGAAAAATCTTAGTTTAAAATTTATTTGTGTTTCATCTTCTTCGTATCTTAATCGTGCTGAATTGTGTGACAATTATTTCTGATATTTTTCAGACTTGAAAAGCTTGTACGAGATCCAACTGAGGGCAATGCATGGCATGCTGACCACATTGTACCTGTCTATCAAGGGGGAGGTGTGTTGTGAACTTGTAATTGTATGTTCAATTTTTTATTTTTAAAACTCTTTTTGCTTTTCAATATCAGATTCTGCCTTTCAATTCAATCTTTAACGAGTCACTATGGGTTGTTAATTCCTCTTGACAGATGTTTCTGTATTTTTGGATTTGAGACTGGAATTTCACTTGTTACCTACACTTCACTGAATTTATTGCTGATAACATGCTCATAATCTAGTTTCTCCATCTAAAAATAACTACTATTGTTTTTCTTATTGATGTTGCCTTGTGAGGTTTAAAAACAGAATTCCCCCTCTATTTATCCTCCTAATGATAGTAAATTTTCTCAAACTTCAAATTTGATATATATTCTCAATTCCTTATTTTATTTATTTTTTTTGCAGGTGAATGCAGGCTAGAGAACATGAGGACCCTTTGTGTGGTATGCCATGCTGATGTTACTGCTGCACAATGTGCTCAACGACGTTCAGCAAGGGCGAAGGCCAAGAAACAACTTAAAGCCATCATGAATGGCCTAAAAAATATTCAAAAAACAGACCAAACTGATTCTAATCTAAAGGTACTACGTTTTTCCAGAAAGCATATGGAATTCAGTGGTTGGTTATGTTGAATGATATAGAAATACTGCTTTTACACGTTATTGTCGGACTATTGCCTCAGAAAAGATGATGGATTAGCCTTTGTTAGGATCATGGACACCCAGAATGTAAACAACAAACAATCACACACACAAATAAGACGCAAATATTTACGTTGTTCGGCCCAATGCCTACGTCCACGGACAAAAATGAGAGTTTCACTAAACCAGAGCAAAACAAAAACAAGAGGAGAAAGACTCACTCAACTCACAACTCTCTCTCTCAAATTTCTAGTACGGTACATCCTCTCCCACTCGTCTCTGTTTATACATAAAGATGAGAGAGAGAGAGAGGAAACAAACCCACACAATTTCTACATTCTTTAATGGTGAGGGTGAGTGTCAACAATGGCAACAACGTGAAGAGAAGGGAGAGTTGCCAGCTCATACCTCCTTCTCTTGAGGTGGAAGTCGTTCTACGCCATTCTTCCTTAACTCTCTCCTCTGCATGCATGGAGTTGGAGCTAACAATTCTCTCACTCCATACCCACATGTATGACTGACTTCTCACTTGAAGTCCATCCCTGCAATATCTTTGCAAATTTCAAGTTTGTCTCTTGACACCACCTTTGTAAGCATGTCAGTTGGATTCTTATCTGTGTGGATCTTGATCAGTTCTAATAATTGCTTTTCCATCACTTTGCATATCTAATGATACCGAACATCAATATGCTTTGTGCAAGAATGGTACATTGAATTCTTGCTCAGGTCTATGGTACTCTGGCTATCACAATGTATCGTGAATTTTTCTTACTTTAATCTCAACTCTTGGAGAAACTGCTTCAACCACAACATCTCTTTCCCAGTTTCCGCTGCGGCAATATACTCTGCCTCGGTTGTGGATAAAGCAACACACTTCTGCAGCTTGGATAGCCAAGACACAGCTTTCCTTGCGAAAGTGAACATAAATCCTGATGTAGATTTCCTACCATCAAGATCGCCTGTCATATCTGAATTAGTATAGCCTTCCAACTCTAAAGCACAAACACATTTTTGCCGTACCCTTGAGGTACCTCAGAATCCACTTGACTGCTTCCCAATGCTCTTTTCCTGTATTAGAAAGGAATATGCTTACTACTCCAACAACATGAGCAATATTTGGTCGGGTGGACACCATTGCATACATTAAACTCCCTACGGCAGATGAGTAGGGAATAGTCTCCATCTTTTCTCTTTCCTTGGTAGAGGAGGGACAATAACTCTTGCTCAGCTTGAAATGATTAGCCAGCGGAGTACTGACTGGCTTGGCATCTTTCATGTTGAACTTTTCAATCACCCGTTCAACGTACTTCTCCTGTTACAGCCACAATTTCTTGGCTTTCCTGTCACGCATAATTTTCATGCCCAAAATTTGCTGTGTAGGGCCTAGGTCCTTCATGTCAAAAGACTGTGATAACTCCTTCTTCAGTGATCTGATTGCTGTGGCATCATGTCCAACGATCAGCATGTCATCAACATAGAGCAGGAGTATGATGAAGTTTTCATTGGGAAATTTCCTGACAACACACTGGTCTGCAGCAGTTCTCTTGTACTCATGACCCACCATAAATGAGTCAAACTTCTTGTACCACTGTCTCGATGCTTGTTTGAGGCCATGGAGACTCTTCTCCAATCTACAGACTAAGTTTTCTTTCCCTTTGACTTCAAAACCTTTAGGCTGCTCCATTTAAATTTCTTCCTTCAGAGCACCATGAAGAAATGACGTCTTCACATTCATCTGTTCAAGTTCCAAATTCAAACTGGTCGCTAAACTACTCGAATGGATGTCATTTTCATAACTGGCGAGAATATTTCATCAAAATCAATACATTTCTTCTGCTCAAAACCTTTGACAACCAATTAGGCCTTATACTGGACTAGCTTTCTGCTGCCATCTTTCTTCAACTTGAACATCCATTTGTTCTTCAGTGCTTTTCGACCTTGGCGAAGTTTTACCAAATCATAAGTCTGATTCTTCTGCAAGGACTGCATCTCCTCTTGCATAGCTTGCTGCCAGCTACTCTTCTCCTTATGATTTTGAGCTTCTTGAAAACTTTCTGGCTCCCCCTCATCAGTAAGCAAAATATACTCAAAAGTAGGGTATTTTGATGACGGCTTAGACTCTCTTGTTGATCTTTGTAACTGTGGACCAACAGTCTTTGGTAGAGGGGGTTGTGGCTCCCCCTGCTCAACACCCTCTGCTTTTGGATCTTCTTCTTTTGGAAATTCATCCTACAACTCTATATCATTGGCTGCATGTTGCAGTAGCTCTTCTTCATCAGTGGCATGCTGTGATGGTGTAGGATTGGGAATAATTTCTGAAAAATCATCAACTTTAGGTTTGGCTAGTTGCCCAAAGTCTTCTAAGGTCTAGCCTTCTTGAAATATCACCTCTCGGTTTCGAATGACCTTGTTTTTCGGATCCCACAATCTGTATTTAAATTCTTCATCTCCATAGTCAATAAAGATGCATGGAGTGGCTTTATCATCCAGTTTCTGTCTGTGCTCTTTGGATACATGTGCAAATACTTTGCACCCAAACACTCTTAAGTGAGAGTAAGAAATCTCCCTTCCAAATCATACTTCTAGAATCTAAAAATTCAGTGGAACGGATGGTGATCTGTTAATCAGATAGCTGGCAACACGAACTTCTCCCAAAAATAGCTTTGTGCAGCTTTGTCATTTTGAGCATACATTTGACCTTCTCCACAATGGTCCGGTTCAGTCTTTCGGCTACACTATTATGTTGTGGGGTTTTAGGAATAGTCTTCTCATGTTGAATGCCGTAAGTAGCACAGTAGGTTTCAAACTCCTTTGACATGTACTTGCCTCCATTGTCTATTCGGAGACACTTTCTTTCCAGGCTCCCTTTCCACCATAGCATGGAATGTTTGAAAATGCTGGAACACTTTAGCTTTGGTCTTTACGAAATAAACCCATACTTTCCATGATGCATCATCAATAAATGTCAGAAAATATTTTTTGCCATCCAAAGATTCCACTTTTATGGGATCGCATACATCAAAGTATACTCAGCTCAACAACTCTGATTGTCTTCTGGATGATGAGTGGAAAGCGACTTTATGATGCTTCCCAAACAAGCAATTGTCACAAGGTTTCAATTTTGCATCTTTGGCAAAGGGAATAAGAGACTTCTTTGTCAAAATCTGCAACCCTTTTTCACTCGTGACCCAGCCTTCTGTGCCACAAATTTGGTGACGCCTCATCTTCTACTGCGTTGAGGCTATTTGAATTCACCTCCACATGAGTCTTGTACAGTGTGCCAATTGTTTGTCCTCTGGCTACCACTAGAGATCCTTTTTTCAACTTCTATATGCCTTTGTCGAAGTAGTTCTCATAGCCTTGTCGATCTAAGGCTATCCCTGAGATAAGATTCAGGTGTAAATCGGAAACATGCTCGACATCTTTCAACACTATCGTGCACCCAACTTTTTTTTGGATGCGAACATCACCGATTCTTACAATCTTCAAAAAACTGGAGTTACCCATCTTCACTGTACCAAAATTTCCAGTTTGGTACGTACTGAAAAACTCCTTTCGGGATGTAGCGTGGTAGGAAACTGCTGTATCTACCACCCACTCGGTGTCGTTGTTTGACCCTCCTAGCCATATTTCTTCATGTGACCCTCCTGGCCATAATGGTAACACTTGAACCTTGGCCGGCTCGTACCTTCTCTGGATTTCCCTCTGTCTTGAGATCTTCCTCTCCTGTGTCCTCTGCTTTTGTTTCTTCCTCTGCCTTTGCCTTTATTTTCTGTAACGAGGGCATGAGACTGATCTCCACCCATGTCTTTCTTTCTTGCCTCTTCATTGAATAAAGCATCTGTAATCATGCTCATGCTCAATTTTACTTCTGGTGCAGAGTTGTTGAGAGACACCACCGTCTCCCAATTGTCTGGCGAAGTGCTGAGCAGCAATAGGGCTTGCATCTCATCATCCAACTCCATTTTGACAGTTGCCAGTTGGTTCACTAGTTTTTGAAACTCATTGGTGTGTTCAGCGACAGAGATACCTCCTTTCAGCCTCAAATTCACAAGTCTTCTCATTAGGAGGGCTTTGTTCTGAGGAGTCTTCGACTGGTACATGCCTTCTAACTTCGTCCAGAGAGCATAGGCATCAGTCTCCTAGGCGACATGGTGGAAGACATTATGATCGATCCATTGTCTAATCTGGCCAATGGTCTTTCGATTCTTCTGCTTCCAGCCTTTGTCATTTTTCGTTGTTGGTTTGACTCTATGAAGCTCAATAGGGTCAAACAAATCTCGGCAGTACATGACATCTTCCATTCTGAGCTTCCAAATGGCATAGTTGGAAGTATTCAGCTTTATCATGGAACCTGAAGTCGATGTTAATTCTTCCATCAGACTTCGCCGTTGAGTCTGGACTGATCAAATTAGTCGGAAAAGCACTTTGGATTGCCAAAATAAAAATAAAATTTTTTTGAAAGCTTATTTACAAAATCTGACCGTACGGATGTGTCCGGAATATTCCAAATAGTTGGAAAGCACTATTGGATCATCCAAATCGGACCTCAAATGGCTTAGATCTAGCCAAAACAGTTCAACGGTTCAGACTAGTGAATTCTGGAGCGCTCGAGAAGCACCAAATAATTCCTCTAGTTCGGCTGGCATCAGGATGACATTAACGGCTGGCAGTGCGGTTTGGTTAGCGGCTGGTCAACGGCTTTGATTTGGCTTGGCGGCTTGGTCAACGCGGCTTGGCAGCTTGGTCAACGCAGCTCGGCAGCTTGGTCAACGGCTTGGAGGCTTGGCTCATAGCTACGGCTCAAGCGACGTCAACTGCCATCGTTGTGACGTCAGCAAACAGCGGTGGGATGACATTAGCGCCTGGAAGAATGGAGAAGACGCGTGCGGCTCGTGTAGCACATTGCGGCACATGGTCATGGCGTGGCGGGGCGTGAGGCTTCATCCGAGCTTCTTTTTCGACGCAATTTTCACCTCTGTACTCGTCGCGTTGAGTACTTTAATCTGGTGTGATGAAAAGTGGATTTTGACCACGTTGAATTCTGCGCAATTTGTGAGAATACTCTGTTTTTCCGAAAAACGACCAATGCGGCTTTGATACCACTTTATTAGGATCATGGACACCCAGAAAGTAAACAACAAACAATCACACACAAATGAGACACAAATATTTACGTGGTTCGGCGCAATGCCTACGTTCATGGACAGAAATGAGAGTTTCACTAAACCAGAGCAAAACAAAAACAAGAGGAGAAAGACTCACTCAACTCACAACTCTCTCTCTCAAATTTATGATTCAATACATTCTCTCCCTCTCGCCTCTATTTATACACAAAGATGAGAGAGAGAGAGAGAGAGAGAGCGGGATGTAGCGTGGTAGGAAACTGCTGTATCTACCACCCACTCGGTGTCGTTGTTTGACCCTCCTAGCCATATTTCTTCATGTGACCCTCCTGGCCATAATGGTAACACTTGAACCTTGGCCGGCTCGTACCTTCTCTGGATTTCCCTCTGTCTTGAGATCTTCCTCTCCTGTGTCCTCTGCTTTTGTTTCTTCCTCTGCCTTTGCCTTTATTTTCTGTAATGAGGGCATGAGACTGATCTCCACCCATGTCTTTCTTTCTTGCCTCTTCACTGAATAAAGCATCTGTAATCATGCTCATGGTCAATTTTACTTCTGGTGCAGAGTTGTTGAGAGACACCACCAACGTCTCCCAATTGTCTGGCAAAGAGCGGAGCAGCAATAGGGCTTGCATCTCATCATCCAGCTCCATTTTGACAGTTGCCAGTTGGTTCACCAGTTTTTGAAACTCATTGGTGTGTTCAGCGATAGAGATACCGCCTTTCAGCCTCAAATTCACAAGTCTTCTCATTAGGAGGGCTTTGTTCCGAGGAGTCTTCGACTGGTACATGCCTTCTAACTTTGTCCGAAGAGCATAGGCATTAGTCTCCTGGGCGACATGGTGGAAGACATTATGATCGATCCATTGTCTAATCTGGCCAGTGGTTTTTCGATTCTTTCGCTTCCAGCCTTCGTCGTTTTTCGTTGCTGGTTTGACTCTATGAAGCTCAATAGGGTCAAACAAATCTCGGCAGTATATGACATCTTCCATTCTAGGCTTCCAAATGGCATAGTTGAAAGTATTCAGCTTTATCATGGAACCTGAAGTCGATGTTAATTCTTCCATCAGACTTCGCTGTTGAGTCTGGACTGATCAAATTAGTCGGAAAAGCACTTTGGATTGCCAAAATAAAAATTAAAATTTTTTGAAAGCTTATTTACAAAATCTGACCATACGGATGTGTCCGGAATATTCCAAATAGTTGGAAAGCACTATTGGATCATCCAAATCGGACCTCAAATGGCTTAGATCTAGCCAAAATAGTTCAACGGTTCAGACTAGTGAATTCTGGAGCGCCTGAGAAGCACCAAATAATTCCTCTAGTTCGGCTGGCATCAGGATGATGTTAGCGGCTGGCAGCGCGGTTTGGTTAGCGGCTGGTCAACGGCTTCGATTTGGCTTGGCGGTTTGGTCAACGCGGCTTGGCAGCTTGGTCAACGGCTTGGAGGCTTGGCTCACAGCTACGGCTCAAGTGACGTCAACTGCCATCATTGTGATGTCAGCAAACAGCGGTGGGATGACATCAGCGCCTGGAAGAATGGAGAAGACGCGTGCGGCTCGTGTAGCGCATTGCGGCACGTGGTCATGGCGTGACGGGGCATGAGGCTTCATCCGGGCTTTTTTTTCGATGCAGTTTTCACCTCTGTACTCGTCGCGTTTAGTACTTTAATCTGGTGTGATGAAAAGTGGATTTTGACCACGTTGAATTCTGCGCAATTTGTGAGAACACTGTTTTTTCGAAAAACGACCAATGCGGCTTTGATACCACTTTGTTAGGATCATGGACACCCAGAAAGTAAACAACAAACAATCACACACAAATGAAACACAAATATTTACGTGGTTCGGCGCAATTTCTACGTTCATGGACAGAAATGAGAGTTTCACTAAACCAGAGCAAAACAAAAACAAGAGGAGGAGAAAGATTCACTCAACTCACAGCTCTCTCTCTCAAATTTATGATTCAATACATTCTCTCCCTCTCGCCTCTATTTATACACAAAGATGAGAGAGAGAGAGAGAGAGAGAGAGAGAGAGAGAGGAGACAAATCCACACAATTTCTACATTCTTTAATGGTGAGGGTGTGTCAACAATGGCAACAACGTGAAGAGAAGGGAGAGCTGCCCAACTCAGACCTCCTTCTCTTGAGGTGGAAGTCTTCCTACGCCATTCTTCCTTGACTCTCTCCTCTGTATGCATGGAGTTGGAGCTAACAGCCTTTACACATTCTTCATCTTGGAACCTGAGCTTGTGTACACAATCTTGCATACTGCTGGATGGTTTCAGTTGAAAGTTTGCTGGACAAAGTTTATCCATCTAACAAGCTAGTCATGAGTCTGATTCTCGAGAAGGAAAAAAGGAAATACTGTACTTTTCTAGTAAAAACAAAACCATATTTTTCCTTTTGCTCCCTCTATTTATTTATGGATTTTGTGTAAGTTTAAAAAGATTGCACATTCTAAGCACCCCATGTACGGATCTATTGCTGAATATCTTCGAATTACCATGTCATATCCTGTTTATAAAAAATATAATTCAAATTACAAAACTTAAATCAAAGAGTAAAAAAAAGATGAGAGATACCATGATGTTAAGCATCTTGCGAAGTTTTCTTCTGATGTAGCAAGTGTAGCAACAACATGATAATATCAACGACTATGCCATCCGTTCATTACAAGCATCTGTGGAAGCTACAATACATAAAATTTCCCTCGAGCAGTAATGTAATACTATATTCTAAGGTATAGAACAACAAGCAAATTTAAGTAAAAAAGAATTTTTAGAATCTTATAAAACATGATTTAATAGCGGTGCGGGTCGGTGCGGTTTGGAAGAAAAATAGAAACTGGCGGATTGATAAAAGTAGCACTAGAATTTGCCATTTTTCTTATAAAAAACCGGCAGTTCGATTGGCAAATAATAACGAATTTGCCTTGGTTGTGCGGTTCGGTGCGGTTTCGGCAGTATTATGCACACCCCTAGTCATGAGTCTGATTCTCGAGAAGGAAAAAAGGAAATACTGTACTTTTCTAGTAAAAACAAAACCATATTTTTCCTTTTGCTCCCTCTATTTATTTATGGATTTTGTGTAAGTTTAAAAAGATTGCACATTCTAAGCACCCCATGTACGGATCTATTGCTGAATATCTTCGAATTACCATGTCATATCCTGTTTTTTTTTTCAGTTGAACCGTGTTATTCTTGTAATTTTGGACTTGTGTTAACTACTGTTGGATTTGTGCTATTATTTTCAGGACGAAGGTTGTCTGGAGAACACAGATGAAGAGCTTTTGATCAAGGTTCCTGGGAGTGCATACTCTGGAGCAATAAATGGTGTAACCAGAACTGACAAGCATGATGAGTCGGCTAATGCTTGAGAATCTAGGTAATCGACAGTGATGAAGCATCTTAAAGCAGAATCTGCATTGTCGGGGTAATCTCCCCAGTTCTTGTTTTGTATTAGGCAATTCTTAAAATACTGAAGGAGTATTTGTATTTTGTAATCCAGAAGTTGGTGCTCAGAGATTCTGCAATTAGAAAAAGGAGGTTAGGAAAATCAGCACCCAAAAAAAAAACATTATTTTATGTTGTATGAATAGCTGCATCTTTTTTTCTTCTTTCAAGAATGCATTGTTTATAACAAGCATTTGCGTAAGGAATTCAAGATTATATTGTAATGTATCTCAATTCTTGAAATTAGGGTTTCAATCATGTATTTTTAAAAATTTTGAAGTTTGTTTAGCTCTCTCTCTATGTATGTGTGTACGTGCGCGGGCACTTGAAGATTGGCACACCCATAGCATAAAAACACACTTGAGTACTTTTAGATAGTGCATGGATTATGGATTTTTAGGTAGAGGATTTGACAAGAAAAAAAGAACAAAGTGAGGCAAATGTAAATGAAATATAAATGAAATGAAATTTTTTTTTTTTCTATTCTTTTTCCTTCTTAAATTTCTATCCAAATTTATAGGTAACTGGTAAATACTGATCTTGATTAGTCAAGAATAAAGTCATTTTTCAATCCTTCATTGAGACGGTGCAACAAAAATGAAATGCAACTTTTTTCTCGATGGAGCAAAGTGAATCATTGGCATAGTTCTCTTCCCTTATTCCTCAACGGAGCAAAATGAAATGAAAATTATCCATTGTTTATTTAGGGCGGTGATCAAAGTTTATCCATTGTTTGTTTTTGGTAGTGACCGAAGTTCAAAGAAGGCAACGGTGTTGTGCAGCGCTCTAAGCGGTGACTGAAGTTTAATGAAGACAATGGTGTCGGACAACAGTCTAAGAATGACTGACGGCAAGTTTGGATTTTATTTTTATGTAGATCTCGTTTTTTCCAAATTACATCTGTGAAAAAATTGATAATTTTCCAAGAACTCTTGTGTTTTTTTTTAAAATTACATCTGTGAAAAAATTGATGGTTTTCCAATAACTTTTTTGGCGGCATTTGAAATTTGTTGTTTATGTTGGATTTCTTTTTTTGCCCTTGAAGCTTTGTTGTTTTTTCTTTTTCTTGTTTCGTATAATGTTTACTTTTATTTTTAATATAACTGCGTTACCAAAAAAACAAAAACGAAAAGTAGGCTGCTAAAATGCAATTACAATTGCAGGGACTCTGTTGTGTAGCACATGTATGGTAGGGTCTTACATGTAGTAACTGATATGTCTTCTTATGCTCTCTATTCAATCATGTATATGTTTTCTAGCAATGAAGTATACATTTTCAGCACAAAAAAAAAAACCCAAACAAACAAACAAACAAACTATGACATACCCTGCCTCCTCAAAATGCCAAAAATTTAACATGTTGCATCTACTTTAAAAAACATCATCACAGATGAAATTTCATGCTTCCAAGTTTGCAGAGTTAGATAAGGAAAAAAAAAAAAAACTGAAGAGCAGATTTTTCAAAAATACATTAAAAGGCAACAACTCAAATGGAGCAACATAACATTTTTTATTCTATTTTGACGGACTAGACTATGATGATAAAACCATCCAAAACCACGTCAGCACCCTTTTCCAAAACCATATTATACCTATCCTCCCTCAAATGGAGCATGATACCAGTTAATTACACATAATAATTTATTTATTTTTTTACAAAGGGGCTTTTCTAATTTGGGCTTCACATAAGGAAAAGAGAATGAGATGTGGGAAAAATTTGTGCACTAAATAAGATAAAATTCCACATGCATTGTGTGTGCAACGATACATACATCAAAACAGCATTTAAGATATTAATTATCAGCTTCCAAAAAGTGAACAAGTCTGGCACCGGTGATTATAGTAGACATCTGCTAAACAATCTGCTGTAGTTGTTGATTAAATACGTCATTTTATTGAATAATGGAGACCAGAAGTACCCTTTCAGCATGTGTTCAAATTAATAATATTATCATAAAAACTGACTTTAAGTTTTTTTTTTCCCTCAACTCATACCTCATCACCCAAATTGGTGATCTCCGCCGCGAAAAACTGCTCTGCTCTATCAATGAAACTTCCAGAAAATCTGGAATGCAACATTAAATTGGAGGAAGTTTCTGAAGCTGACTGATTTTGCTTCACAGACATCTCTTCGCAAAGTTTGAACGCTTTGCAATCTTTCTGGTTTCGCATCTTGCTAGTTCTGAAGCTGTTCCCCAAAGCCCCACCACCACCACCTTTTCCTGAATAAATTCGTGCGTTTCTTGGATTGTAACGGTTGGATCTAAGGGGCATTTCGCCTTGAAGTTTTCTAGATTCAGGAGGACCCAACTGATTAGATTCGCCTGGAGATTCTGTTGGAGGATTATCCAGGGTTGAGCTAGATCTAACCGTAGGTAAACCATTTCGGCAAGATTTGATCAAAGAAAGAAGCATATCGGTACTGAGTTCTTGCTGAACCACACCCTTGTTCTGCTCACAACCAAAGCAGGCAGCAACCAGTGTGCCTGCCAAGACTGGCATCAACTCGGGATCACTGAAGAACACAAATGGCAGATCGCATACCTGTTCTTCCACTTCAACATTTAGATTTTCTAAATAATTAAGGTTTAATTACACCAAGAACCCCTCAACTATTAATGAATATCCTCCAAAGGGGATGGAAGTGAAACATTTTTATAATTGAAGAGGTCAAAAATGTACATGGGTTCATAGATGAGGGGGTAAAGTGATATCAGCTAATAGTTAAAAGGGTCTTGGTGTAATTAACCAATCAAGATGTAAAAGGTGGTTTGTGAAATTCCACTCACCTTATGAAGGATGGTAGGGCTCTTTCCCCATCGAAGGACAGCTTGATTTTCAAGGTGGAACAAGGCAAAAAAACCAAGAAGCGATAAAGATTCCAGCAGAAGCAAACCAACCTGAGAGACATTGCACAGATAGCAAACAAGTATTAGCAAGGCTTGCTATTAATCTTCCCATCATAAAAAAACTCAATTATATATATATAACCATTAAATAATGCAAGATCCAGAAATATTATATCAAACTCAAGTATGTCTAATCCCAAACCTTTGTGCAAATTGTCAAGCAAATTTCATGCTAGAAGTTCAAAAATATTATGCTAGTATGTTGATAATTGATAAATGTTCGTTTTCTCTGACACTTATACAAATCAGAAGATTAATTTCTCTGAGAATTGTTTTCTGTAGGCAAAGGTCAATTCATCATTTATTGTCATTCGTGCCAATATGCATGCCACAAGAATATATGTGAAGATGTATATCTTCCTTTTAATGAACTGTTGCTCATGCGGCAATTTGCCAGGTCTAGTTACATGTGCAAATGTGAGTGCATGTTACATGTCAATGTATAAAACACAATGGCATGTAGAATCACCTGATCAGTAGCTACTCTCCACTTGCTTGCGCAATGAGAAAGAAGAAAACTGATCAAATGGAAGAATTCCATTTTCAGGTCTGGCCTGGCCTACAATCAAGATAAGAAAAGGGAAAAATTAAGTAAATAAATCCACCGAGCACTAAACACACATATCACGTGAGGATTTGAAAGCCAAAAGATGCAAAATAGTCAAGTTCAGGGAGCTAGTTCACATCTATGATTTAACTGAAAACTTGGCATAGTAAATAAAAATAAAAGTGACTTACTAGCATCTTTTGCATGAATGTTATGTCTATAAGAGCCAAATTGTTCAAAACCTTCAGTACTCCAGTTGCCACTTCTTCAAAATTAGATGGAAGAACATGGGAAGCCTGAAATAGAATACAACTCACTGTCAATTATTAAATGAGAAGAGCTCTGCCCTTGTTCCTACTAGTAACACCACCGTGCATAGCATGGTGAAGCTTCTGGTATATAGCTTTTGTTTGAATATAATAGTAACAAGCAAATGAAAACAACATAAAGCTAAAATCCTTTATCTTCCACACCACTACCAAAACATCTGGTTAAAAAGTTGATAATCATGCCAAATCAAAGGACCTAGACACATGCACAAAAAATGTGATCTTACAGCCAAAATAATGTTATAAGAGAACTTAGCAGTAGATATAATTGATTACAGGTAAAGAAGAAAATCACAATCAAAGGTGACTCCATCAACCATGCTTACACATGCAACACAAAGATAATTGAGAAGATAATTTGACCGATGAGTTGGAGAAGATGCAAGATTGAAGGAAGTAAGGTATGGTTGTATCTCAGAGCATTCCTTAATTGAACTTGTTATGAATCGTCATGAAGTAAATTAGAACCATTACACTCATGCTGATATATTTTCAATTGACGACACTTACCTGTTCAGAAGACAACCTGTTGTGTGCCTGCAATAGCACAGCTGTCAACAATGAGGGAAGACAGACCAAGCCAGTTTCAGATATGGCAGAAAGAAGAAAGGTTACTGGTGGCTTCAAGCCTGATTTGTTTTCATTCTTTTGTTCTGCACCATCATCCACAGAGCTCTTCTCGTCTCTCTGAGAGACAGAAGACTTTGCAGTATTATCTGTCAAAACATGCTTGGACTCGTCAACATCCATCCCTGTGCCAACAGCCTCAAGCTTATCAGAATCTTTTTTATCCAATACCGATTCTTTGCTTCTTTTTATCATACATGATTCATCTAATGGCCTATCTTCTGGTACATCTGGTAAAGTTCTATTTTCTCCATTGAGGTTATTTACAGAGGAAGATCCAAAATCTGCAGCCTCTACAAGCTTAGCCTTTGAAGTTTCATTTTCTGGTACTATTTCAATTGGAAAAGATTCCCAATCAATGGAAGAAATTGTTCTGCATCTGGATGTTAAAACTACCAACAGACTTATACTCAAGAGAATAGATGAAGGAAACGGTGACCCTTCCACCTGTGGCCTGTCATGAAGCGCAAAAAGATCTCGCAACCGATGAATAACCTGATACGCAAGCACAAGCTCCTGTAAACCATCCTGCATTTGGAGTTGGCGTTCATCAGAGCTTACATGACCAATAATTGTTGCAACAGTCCATAAAAAGCCATCCAGTTCTTCAGAGATTGACTCCAAATTTTCAATTGATGTTTTGCTTGATAGCAAGTTGGAGCTACCAGGGACACTTGATGAAGCTGCAATCTTGATATAGTTCTCAAGAGCTGCTGCCAGCATGGGGATGATCGGTGGCAAGAGATTTTGTGCAAGAAAGTAACTCCTGTTTGCAGGTACTGATAGCACTACCCTTAGAAGTCTTAAAAGGTATATTGTCACCTGGCAGGCTTCAGGTTTAGATGTGTGAGAAGCTGGCAAGGCAGAAGCAATAAAATCAAGCAGACCAGCTTGGCGAGATGCTTGCAGCTCAGGGTCTTTTCCCTCCAAAAACTAATCCACAAATCAAATGTCAAAAACTGTTAGTTAAAAAAATCACAAGCTTTCCCACAGGAAAGAAAAAACAAAAAAGGAAAAACAAAAGCATAATCTACTGAAACAACTTTTTCCAACCTTAATCATTCCTCTTTGAAGTACTCAGAAATCAAACTTTAAAATGAGTGTGGATAATGACTACCTTAATCATCTCAGCAGTTATTAGTCCAATACTTGCAGCCCCTTCTTTCCTTGCTTGCCGAAGTTTCTGGAGTTCCTGAAGCCACCGTCCAATTTTCGCCCTTGCAGTTCCCACCGCTGCTCTATATCCAATGCCAGCATTTTCAACGCCAACAGGAGGCTCAGGAAATTCATATTTCAAAGCCATAAGCCTTTGACGTATTTTTTTAATCCTTCGCTTTAACGAGTGTTGCAATGTGGCATTGCCTGTTTGAAGAGTAGAACCTCCTGAACCTGTGACGTTATTTGCCTGATACTCTTCACTACTGCTGGTTGGTGTAGATCTACCCTGACCCTCCTTGTTCAGAGAACGTCGCAGTAGAGGTGAAGATTGATCTCTGAAATCCATTGAAGCTCTCTCCCGTATTTGTTCTAAGTAAAACTTGCGACGCTGTTCACTTTCACTAAGTCTTTCAGCTAATTTCTGGGCCAGAAGCTCTGCTTCCTCCTGTTGGGCTTTAGCTCTAACCTCCCTTCTTCGGAGCTGTTCTATAGCCTTTGCCTCTCGTGCTGCACTTGATGCCTTCCGTTCTTCTTCCCTTCTCACTAGAGCCTCTTCCTTTTTCCGCTGTGTCTCAGCCAGACGCTGCAGCTTTTCAGCTTCAATGAGCTTCTTGCGCTCCAAAACAGCTTCCTCTCTTGCCATATCCTCCTTCTGTTTAGTTTTCATTACATGAAGTTTCTCAGCTCTCCTCAATTCAGAATCATGATGTTTCTGGCGCAATATAAATTTTTTGTTCTCTTCATTTAGTGAAGTAATAAAACGAACCTCATTAACCTTACTGCTTTCATCACCAGCCCTTTTCACAACCTGGGCTAGAAAAGCTTCATGCCGAGATTCACTGCGTTGGTGGCGGGCATACATTCCCTCTCGCAACTTCATGCTGCGAACAGCTTGCCATTCATTAACACGGTTCAATTTATCTGAGTTACGCTGAAGCTTTTGAACTCTTTCATTCTCTAACTCACTTCTAATCCTCATAGCCCGTGCATGTTTTTCTTCTGCTTCTTTTTTTAAATCTAAAGCAGTCTTCTTTTTCTTCTCAGGAGACATTAGTTTGTCATGCAAAATTCGTGCACGCTCAGCACTTTTCCGACCCATGCCTGGCGAATGTGAAAAGCGAGAAGAAACACGGAATGGAGATGCAAGTAGTTCCTCCCAGTTCCTTTTATCCTTCCAAGCATCCATGGATTTCCATGACGGTCCATTTCTCTTGTCCCTATCTCTTTCAGAAAGATAAGTTTGCTTCTTAAGGTGATCCACAGATTTGGGATTTTTCTCAACCACACTTTCTGCCAACATTTTATCTTTCCTAGGAAGCAACTTCTCCATTTCAGAAGTAGATCCAACGTGTTCCCCTTTGCTCTTTCCAGTGACAGAAGCAGCTGAGCTCTCCCTAACAGGTAACCTAGATGCGTTAATACCAGAAACAGATGGGTTCGGTAAATGACCATTGTGTGTGGAGTTTATTCTGCAGGACCTGCCCGAGTCAGAATTCCTCTTCTCTCCACTTGAACTTCTCCGACTGATATCTGAAACTCCATTATGCTTCCTTAACTTCAGGACTGTTTCTTTAGCATTTGATGTTATGTAACTTCTCCCAGCATATTTCTCTGGAATATCACTGTTACGACAATTAGAACAATCATGCCGCAGTTTTTCAGCATCACTAGCTGCCCGCGTGTTAGCTCTTTCTTGTTGGATTTTCCTAAAAGCTTCAAGAGATGAAGACAGTATTTCTGCCCTGTGAGGTGAAGTAGTCATTCGCCGAACCTGCACCAGGAAAAAATAAGTAAGAAAGATAAACTTTTTATTGTCAATGTAATACTTATTTTAAAAATTAAAATAAAAATCAACATATTATTCTAACAGAGTTTATTCAATAAGACAGTGCACAGAAAATCATCCTCTCATCCTTGTACTCTTACCTAATACCCTCCATCTTCGTGAAAGAACATTATCTTAATTCAAAGATTAATGGATAGCTACTATGCCTTTAGCTGGTGGACAGTGGACACATACACATGATTTGTGTCCCTCAACAGAGTCCTATCCAGGCAACATTATCTATGCCTCATGCCAATGTTCCATTCTCTGTACATTTTTCAAGAATTTTTATAGGATTATGTAGTGATGATTTATTTTATTTTATTTTATTTTAAATATAATGTAGTGATGATTTTGACCATCAAACATGAGAATATAGTTTCATACTAATAACTCACAAAAATTAGTTTCCCTTGTCAAACTAGATTTCTTGGCATAAGGTTTTAAGGCACAGAGAGAATAAATGATTTCAAACTTAAAGCAAATCATGAGAATTAAATTCCTTGCTGACCACAATTGAAGATACTTGAAAAATGTTGATAATTGTCTTAGCAACAAAAATCCTCAGAGAAACAAAGTCAGTCCAAAAGAAGCCAAAAAATACTCCCTCTGATCCATCTGCTATTCCATTTTGGGATGTCCCAAAATGATGTCCATTTTTAAAAGACAGCACCAAAACCTTATGATTTTACAATATTATCTTTTAAATTGAGTGTGGATGCATCAATAGTGTGGCATAGAGGGATAGTTTCGGAATTTATATCTATTAGTTGGGTGTGACACTTTAAATGTTTCTCTCCTTAAAATATTATGTCAAAGCACCAAGGATTATGTCAGTATACATCTACGCTTGAGTGCTGTTTTAACAGAGTGAATTATTTCATGTCATTTTCAGCAGTAGGTAATTCATTACATTGGTAACAAGAAAGGGGCGAGCATGCTGACCTCCCATGAAAGTGCATGTGGTCTGCGGTGATCTGACTTCATGGTCATAGGCAGGCCATCAATTAATTGAGAAGTGGACCTTTTTACATTCTCAAATTCCTCCACTCTAGAATTTAGTTCCTTAAAATCAGATGCAGCTTCTTCAAGGACAAGAATTGCCTCTTTCATCTGCTCCAAATCACATTCTAGTTCACAAAGAAGATAAAGTTCATCTACAGCCCTATTAAGATTCTCGAAGAGAAAGCACCAAAGTCGCTGTCTAAACCTTTCCTTACTTTCACGTGCATCACCTGCATCAGTGCCACTTAAAATCTGGGCATTTGACAACTCACCAAGAATTCTATCGGCCAGTTGATGGCCAGAGACTCCAGATTTTTCAGCCTCAATTTTTTCAGGTGTAAGTGAGTCAGCATCTTGGGGCATTGCTACTGTGCTAGAAGCACCGTCTATCATGGGTACATCAGATATTTCTGAATTGCCTGTTTCACACATAACAATAGGTTCTGGAAGTTCCACAATCATCCCATCCTTTTCATTGGCTATGGAACCAGACATACTGCCAGCAGCTAAAGGGTCATTACTAACTGATTTGACTTGTTCATTGCATGTTTCTCCACCGTTTGAAACATCACCACTTGAAGTAAGTATTTTTTCGTTTGTAACTTGTACCTTCACATCCTCTGAAGTTATTTCATTCACCTCTTTACAGTTCTCTCCATCCTCCGGAGACAACGATAATGGCTGACAAAGACTGTGATCTGCATCTACAGATGTTACCACCGATTTGTCTCCTTTGGAGTCAGTGGAAGAAGAAATGCATGAAACTGAACCTTTAGCATCCTCGGCTTTCCTGCTAACTAAATGATCATTTCCAATATCTCCAAACCTAATTTCTGCTCCAACGGTCTTTTTGAGATGTAGTTCCAAAGCTCCACCATCCAAATCACCCCACTTGATTGTTTGAATAGGATCAGGCTTATCCTTTTGGAGAAACTCTTCAACAACTCCATCTTTATTATCACAATTTGTAGCAGCTTTCATCGGAGGTGATTTGGGACATTCATTATCTTGACAAACCACACATTTATCAAGGTAATGCACGCCTTTCTCTTCTTCAGTTGAAACAGAAGTAGCATTTGCAACCCTGCCCTGGCTATTTACAGCAAAATCTCCCCCTGCTTTTGAATTCTGGCCACCATACTTGCCGTGTGAATTTCTGCTTTTAACATTTGACGAAGCCTGACGGCGTGGAGTGCTAGGAGTCTGTTTTCCAGATAATCCCCCTACCCAACCTTGGAGAGAAAACTTTGCACTACTTCTATGCTTCTGTATAGGAAATGTGAAGAACAAAACGAATCAAAGCATGCCATTAAAATTAGGATATGTGGATGTCTTCTCAGAAAGTTTTTAAGCTTGAACCAAAAGTCCTTTCCCAGGTCATTTACAAGAAAAAATCAGAATAAAATTCTGAAAAACACATGACATAATATGGAAGAGAGAAAAGGAATTACTAATTGCACCAAAAAAGAAAACACACAAAAAAAGGGAAAAAAAATCATATAGAACGGAAGAACAAAAAAGAGAGACGAAGGTTGAAGAAACATGTAAGAATTGGAAAATAAGAGCAGCAGACATGAAATTCACATAAATTCAAGAACCAAAAACTGCAAGAAGTTTCTATTGCAATTCTTGTTAAGCAAGCATTCAAAAGATATAACTTACAAAGAAACAGATAGAAATGATCTAAAATGAGAATAGACCAACTCAAAATTCCCATCAACAAAATCGTAAGGAGAATGAGTAAAATAACTGATATACACAGTATCAATAAGAAGCAAATATAAAATTAAAATACATATTATATGGCATCATAAGGAAAGACGAAGAAAGTAGATTAGAATAAATGACATAAAAGACGAAGAAAGCATCACAAACATTTGACACAAAAAGAGCTGCTATTCTCAAGGCATCCTGTGGCAGTGATTAAAAATTTACATAGACACAGACACAACACAAGGATTCAACTAGACATGGAAAATTCATTAAAAGAGAAAAGCAAAAGAAAAAAAAAAAAACCCAGGAATGCAGGAATCAAAAGTTTCTTCTCAGTACCCTTGTTTCACTTATAACAACTGTAATCATCTAGTTGCACTAATATTCCAATTTCCTCCCCACATTAATCTCCTATGATCTGCAACACATGTTTGGGTACCTGAATGTCAATTGCAAATGAATAACACTACCACCTACCACCAATGCAAACGCACTATTCCCATGATTATACTCTTGTTTATTAAAATTTTACCAGCAAAAAATTAGACAAAAACAAAACGTCAACTAAATCAGCCTCCTACTAAAAAATTATGCTTTTTCAAATGTTGGATTTGCCTCTGTCAGGTCCAAATATATCCAGCTGTGTCCTGCACAGTGTTACCAGAAAATGCTAAAACCCTAGTGATCCGTTCCAAAACATGGTTACACGTTTGTTCCGAAATGATGAATTTAGTGATCCAAAGCAATTCCATAGTTTTTCTATCTTTTTCATGAAAAGTTATCCTTAATAGTGTACCCCATTCCCATTCCTCATACCAAAATGACCCATGTTCCAGGTCACATAGGACCTGCATCACCATTGTCCTATTTGTTGGCTTCCCATTTAGGTTCATCAAGGCTAAGCAGGGTTTATGAGTTTCCATGATTAAGTCATCCCTGACACATAAGCTATTCATCCACAAGTTGTAGTAGGACTAAATGATAGTTTGTGCAATTTAAAGTTTTGTCTAGCTTGAATCAGTTTGCATTCTTAAACAGTTATAGAATAGGCCCGTAGAATGAGAATTAATCTCAAGCCCTCATCAACGTTTTTTCATACCAAAATTGAGAAGAAAACATTAATAGCCAATAATATACAAATGGAGCTAAGAAGTCTAGAGTTGAGGCCTCATCTTTCAAAATTGTTAGAACAATAACTCAAAAGTAAAAGAGAAATAGTTGTTGAGGCATCATTTCAGCTAGGAAAATCACGAAGCGAGAAAATCAATGTTCCTGACTTTGTTCAGAAAGAATTGAAAAAAATTAGAAGCATACTGCAAATTGTAGTTTTGAATGCTTATTATGTGGCATCCGGAAGTTTATTCTGTGCAAGAGTAGATAATTTATAAAGTAAATAATTTAGAGCAAAATACATGTAACAACCTGTTGAAGGCATATGGGAGGCACTACATTATTGAAAATCAACTGTGTGATCTTACACCATTGGCTGACTAAAACAAGAAAGTTCAAACAAGCCATGTTACAAAATGAAGTCTCCAAGGAAAAGACCATTCAAATTGTCAAATAAAATGAGGCATTTCACGATCCAAATAACTATGAAATGCTAGCTCCAAAACCTATCAATTAAATTTGGCCTTCCCAAGCTGTTCCACAAATTTCAAGCTCTTCGAATAATGTGATCATCAACATACTTTTTGCTACACGAAACTAATTGCCAAGAAAATTACAAATAATAAGCTTTCCATCATCAAAATTCAAGGCCTTCAAACAAAATGTTCAATACACAAATTTGTTACATTGAATCAATTGGTATGATATGACAATTACACAACAGTAAGTTTCTCTAATCAGACTTCAAGATCCTCCACCAATGCAAAAAACATATGTTCAATTAATTTCATCAATATTTATTTTCATAAAAACATGTTCAATTAATTTTCTCAACAAAGCACGTATTCTTTTTATCATAATTATACCATATGAATGCCATAAGATTTATTTAACATAAGATACATATCAGTGATATGTACCTATTGTGTATCTAAGACACTGAAAACACTGCAAACTGATTCAAACAAATAGGATCCACTAAAATTAACATATCAAACAAATAAATACCAATTTACAAGAATTACAAACATGGATATTGACAGTTCGAAATGTCCATTTCCTCAATTTTTCCAAGGAAAATTCTGGGTACATTTTTATGGTTTCATTTCCGTCTTCAGTTTCCTTAATTGTTTTTTGACCCACAAAAATAATTTAAAATTTTAAAAGATTCAAGTAAAATAATAAACACAACCAGTCAAAAACACCAGATTATGAAATTTCTGAAAATGGGCATGAAAAAAAATAGCACCTTTTTAACTTGCAACCATCCAGAGCCCTGATCATCCCCTGCTTCTCCACTGCTATCCATCACAGCATGATCATATAGCCAGATTTCTTCATCTCAAAAAAATCACAAATTTACAACCAAAAAAAAAAGAGGGTCTCTAATCTAAAAACTCACAACCAAAAAAGAAAAAAACTAATTTTTACAATTGTTTTTTGACCCATAAAAATAATTTAAGATTTAAAATTTTAAAAGATTCTAGTAAAATAATAAACACAAGCAGTCAAAAACACCAGATTATGAAATTTCTGAAAATGGGCATGACAAAAAATAGCACCTTTTTAACTTGCAACCATCCAGAGCCCTGATCATCCCCTGCTTCTCCACTGCTATCCATCACAGCATGATCATATAGCCAGATTTCTTCATCTCAAAAAAATCACAAATTTACAACCAAAAAAAAAAGAGGGTCTCTAATCTAAAAACTCACAACCAAAAAAGAAAAAAACTAATTTTTACAACAACTGTATCAACAATTCCTTTTATTATAGACAACATGTTGCTGGAAAATTGATAGCAGTTCAATTATAAATACATATTTGACAATCGAATCACGAGAAAAAACGAAATGGGTCAGAGGAAAAAGAGATTAATTTAAATTCCATGAGCTCTAACTCGGACATTGATGTAAACAAAGATAGGAAATGGAATTCCAGAGGAATTTTTTAAAAATTGGGAATTTGTGAAGTGAGAATGTGAAAATGTAGATGAGATTGTTGTTGCTGTGATCAATTCTTTTTTAGGGTTTCCGAGTAAAACGAATGCCTCGAAGAACCAAACACGGTGCGATGATGAGACTGTTGAAAAAGAGTTTATAGGAGTTGAGGAAGATGGGGAGCTTCTAAATACACTCCCAAAGAATTCTTTGCACACCCCCCAAATTTAGGCCAAGTTTGGGAACACTAAATAATTGCACTTTTTGACTTTTTATGAAATATGGGTTGGGTTTGAAGCGATGTGTTAGAGAAGTGATGTGACTTAAATAAAATGATGTGACTTAAATAGGATAGTGACTTTTTGACTTTTTAGATTTTTTGAAGAATGCCAAACTTGACCTTAATAATTTGAAATTCTATTTGGACGTCATACATAGGGTTAGTTTGAAATGATGATTAAAAGATAATTTTTTTTAATTTTAAAATGTGTAAAAAAATATGAAAGGTGATGTAACTTAAAATAGGTTAAAAGTTGAAAGATGAATTTATTGTCTAGTAGGTCTTATGTATAAATTTACAAATAAAAGAAATATGTTCAAATTTAAAGTTATGAATAAAATTAAGAGAGATTTATGTGTAGGTTCTAATAGGTGAACTTATTGTCCAATAAGTCCTATGATAATTAATAATATATTTTTATTAAATATTATTAAAAATATCACTAATTGTTAATTTTCAGTGATAGTTTAAATTTTTTGTCACAAATAATGTCACTAATTATAAGTTTTAGCAACAGTTTAAAAAAATCGTTACAAAAAAAGTTACTAGTTTGAAAAATTTGTCACAAAAATGTCACTAATTGTAAAGTTTAGTGACAATTTATAAAAATTGTGACAAAAAAATCACTAATTATCAATTCTTAAAGACATGCAAAAAATAGTCACAAGTGATTATTTGTAATGACGATTTTACTATGACTTATTTTCAATAAAATTTGATGGGAATTAAGTCAAACTATTAGGACCTATTTGTAGTTTGCCCTAAAAAAAATTGTTCAAATATACATGTCATTCAATAGGGATGGCAATTTGAAACCGACCTAACAGGGACCCGACTCCTCGACCCCGAATTGAATGGTTTTTCCCTAAAAAATACCCCCGACGGGCCGGGGATGGTATTTAAAAATAAATCCCCGATGATATTCAGGCCGGGGACGGGGATACATTTTCCAACCCCGGCCCCGCCTCGTTTAGCCCCCCAATCCAGTTTATATATGTATAAATATATGTGTGTGCTGTGTGTTTATATATATATATGTGTGTGTATGTGTGGGGGAGGGGGTTTTGGTATGTGTGTTGGCAACAAACATAACAACATATCTGGCCCCTCTCTCTCTCTTTCTCTCTCATACAACCGCAGCTCCCTCACCGTCGGCTTCTTCTCTCATTCTGACCGCCGACTCATCTCTCTCTCACGGATCTCCTCTCTTTCTCTCTCTCTCTCTCTTGTTTTTTGCTTTTGTTCTTTAGATCTAGAAAATTGTGGAGATGAAGATGAAGATGTTGATGAAGATCTGTTGATGTTGATGTTGAGATCTGTTGTTGTTGTTGTTGTTCAGATTTGAAGATGAGGATGTTGTTTTCTGGAGCTGTGTTTTTTTTTTTTTTTTTGCCGAGGATTTTCAGGGTCGGAGAAACCCGATCCCCATTAGGGGGCGAGAGTGGGAGCGGTAGTGGGTTTCCCGTCGGGGATCAGGGCCGGAGACGGGGGGATTTTCACCATCGGGGATCGGGGATCGAGGAGGGTGATCCCAGGCCCCGCCCCGCCCCATTGCCATTCCTATCGTTCAATCTTTTAATTACTTTCTGTTAATAAATTTATACTTGCATATTTGACTTTTGTTCGAAAATTTATATCTGAATACCATTTATGATGTGTACTAAGAGTTTGTACAGTGTACAAATATAATTACCCTTAATATTTTTTTTTTAATTACAATAATTATATCCTTGAGCTAAATTACTCCATTAAGAACAAAATTTAAAAGAAATAATAATAATAAAATAAATAAAAATTTAAAAAATTTCAACAACTTGTAGAAAACTCGTAGCCACCAACAACTACCTCCTTCACTCCTTCTACCATTGAGCAAGGATCCTCTAGAGTTTTTTTTTTCTAAAGTTTCCTAGAGTGGTGCATTGTGTGGTTGAGATTTAATGACAAGTCACATCAATTTTTCAGCATTAAATCTCAACCACACAATACACCACTTTAAGAAATTTTAGGAAAAAAACACTCTAGAGGATCCTTGGTGTCTACGGATTTCCTATCGTCGTTCCCTCAAATTACTTATACCCTCTCTTTTCATACACCTCCTTAACCCTAGTCTGTCGAGGAGTCTACCACCTCTTCCATTTGATGTCCTTTACACCTATTATCAAGGTTTTAAAAAGCGGCCGCAACCGTTACGTAACGCCGTTACGTAACGGTTTTGGCGGTTACCGCCACCCGTTACGGTCGCTTTTGCTGTGTGATTGAGATTCACAGGTGTATCAGCCGTAGCGGCTGCCGTAGCGGTCGTAATGGTGCCGTAACAGTCGTAACGGCCTGTTACACACCGTTACGTAACAGTTCCAAACTGTTTCTTTCGAAAAACACACAAAAAAAAGCTGAAAATGGGAGAAGAGGGAAGATAAACAGAGAAAATGGAGGAGCAAAAGATAGAGAGAGAGAAAAGGGAAGATGAAGAACATGTTATTGATTTGTTGAAACTGTAAGACCTATGCTATTCTATTCAACTGCTATCACTAAACCATTTTGTTTGTGTGTGTCTATCTATATATTGTTTGAAAATAATAATAATAATAATAAGTGTGGTCATTATCTATTTGGCTTGGTTAAAATATGTATATATATCCTAGAGTGGTGCATTGTGTGGTTGAGATTTAATGACAAGTCACATCAATTTTTTAACATTAAATCTCAACCACACAATACACCACTTTAAGAAATTTTAAGAAAAAAACACTCTAGAAGATCCTTAGTGTCTACGGATTTCCTATCGTTGTTCCCTCAAATTACTTATACCTTCTGTTTTCATACACCTCCTTAACCCTAGTCTGTCGAGGAGTCTACCACCTCTTCCATTTGATGTCCTTTACACCTATTATTGACATCCATTCTCTCTCTACTCTTCGTACCCACCACTTAACATTGTTAGATTTTCTCACATTAGTTCACTATTTGGAGTAGATCAAAGCATAGACAGTAACACAGCCCTTACCTTATTCCTTCTCCATTCATGATCACCATTAGACCACATATCACCAATATATTCCTTTTGTTCAACTACCAACAACAGGAAAATTGTTTTTGGTTCGGCGTTGTATAACCAAACAATCATTAAATGTTTCGATTTATTCAATCAATAATATTGCATCTGGTTTAGTACTCTACAACCAAATTTTGCCCATAGAACAAGAATGACTTGGGGCTCATAAGGGCTAGGGTAATGGATGTCTTGGCATTGCAGGATGGTAGGAAATGTAAGGAGCGTTAGGAGATGGAATGAGGGAGTTGGCGTGGGAAGTAGAAGAGATAAGAGGCGTTAGGGTAGGAAGAAAAGTAGATGGAGGGTACGAGTTATGATGGCTAGTGGTATAAAAGATGGTAGTGCTGGTAGTCAATGCTGTAGAAGACAGTGGTGGTGGTGGTAGTTGTCACTGATGTAAGAGATAGCGGTGGTTGATTGTAGAGGAAATGTTTGCTCGGGTTTGGAAGGTAAGGGATTATATTGGGTGTTCAAAGAAAAACAACAAATTCTAAAAAAAATTTAGGTAGTGGTCAAAAAAGATTTTGGGGTGAATTTAGAAGCTCTGTGAAGATGGTGGGAGCTTTTATTTGCGCACTCCTAAAGTCTTTAGTTTCACTAATTTTCATTTAAATATCAACTATTGAACAAATTTCATGTGAACAAATATCAGAACAAATGACTTGAAAAATGCTTATGGTAGTAGTAGATGAAATTAGGAGTTGCCATAATCAAATCAACTTACTATATAAGTCTATCAAAATGCTTTACTCAAAAAAGAATCCAAATAATTGTATTTGAAGGCATGACCTTTTTGACCATTCTTTAAATTGACTCCATCCGTATTTAAGAGAAAAACATTATATAAATAAAAAAATAAAATGAATAAATTATAAAAGTAGGGTGTAAATGAGAATTGACATCATTATACTTCATTCATTTGTAATCAAAGTAAAATAGAAGAAGAGACCAAAAAAAAAAAATCTACAACTGAAGAACTCAATCAGTGTGTTTGGTTTGAGTTTTTTGGATTAAGTTTTTTGAAAAGTAAGTTTTTTGGTTTTCGTGTTTTTTTTGTTTTTGTTTTTAGTGAATATTTTTAAAATTTTAAATATTTTTTTTACCTTTTTAGATGCACCTTATTTAGATATATCTAAAAAGTAAAAAAATTGTGAAAAAATTAATAAATACATAAAAATACAAAAAATGTACTGAATTCTTTTTTTTTTTTTGTATTTTTGATATTTAGTGAATTTTTAAAATGTTTTTTTCATAAATTTTTTACTTTTTAGATATATTTATGTTAGGTATGTCTAAAAGGAAAAAAAATTGCTTAAAATATTTAAAAAATTCAGTAAAAACAAAAAAATATGGAAAACAAGAAAGTAAAAATTTCTAAAAAGTGTTTTTGGAAAACTCTAACCAAGCAAATAATTTTGAAAATCAGCATGGGATTAAGGATAACGATTGGCAAAAGTTTTTTGTTTTTTTATTTTTATTTTAATATAACTAAAAATAAACTTATAAAAAAAATTAAAATAAATTACATTAACCTTCTTTGAGATTTTGAAAAATACAATAAATTACACAATTTTAGCATAACTATATTGAACTCCCTTAATATTTTAATTCACATAATACTTAGTCTCGTTTTTGTCAATAATTTATTGGTTATACAGATGAAAAATTGCTATTGTCATATCTTTTACATGAAAATTATATTTTATGCTATTTTTTTTCGTAATGTAATATGTCAAAATTGTGGGACTTGTTATATTTTTTCTAAACCTCTGGGGAGGTTAATGTAATTTACCCAAAAATTAATGTTAAAA